TGGAATGGGGCCCTAGTCACCTAAACGGTGATTAGTGCTAGTGTTCCTTTAAGCAATCCTATCTCTAAACATAGGTGGTGATAGGATAGCACATACCATTAGGAAGAGAACCCAGGAATTCTTTCCCTGTATCAGGATTGGCAATCTATGGCCTGTGGACCTTTTGAGACCCACCCCCTACACAAAAACCTATATATGCTACTCTGCCCAAACATTCCAGTCGAGTTGGGAAGGGTAGCGATGGACCTATGTAATTACTGTGCCTGTGTAAGCACAGTGATCCCCAGAGACCCACTGGGGTCTGAGGATCCACTCCTGCTTGCACAAGCACAGATAAGGAGTTTGGTTGGACCTCTTAATAAGTAAATAGAAATCATGTATGTGTTTGTGTCAGTTGTGGTTGTCTCTGTGAATGTATGTGTACATGAGAGAGTGTTTAGTAGCATTCTCCCTAATCTGGTATCCTTATACCGTATTTACTCAAACGAAGTCTCGCATCCCTGTTGCAGCAATGCGAATGTGAATTCCCGTCATATCTCCGAGCGGTCGTTGCCCGAGTAGGTCGTAAAGTGAGGCGCAACTAGGTAAGCAGTAAGCATGAGCGGTTTGTTTTTATTGCACTACGCTTTCCTTTTTGTTAGTACTGACATTGTACTCAAATCCAATGGACCGTTTGTACTTGACTCAAATGTGTCATCAAATCTAATGCACATTCAAATTTTGGAGACTTTATTTTGCCATTAGATTTGAGCAAATACGCTATAGAGCAACCCCACATAAGGATACCAAATTGGGGAGGCATATGCAATTATTATTTTCATTTTTTTTCGCTATATAGACAAAGAAGGCCCTCTATCCATTTACAAACATGGTATTCGGCCCTCATGAGGAAAATGTTTGTAGACCTTGGCCCTATGTTGTTTTTTGTTCTTAATATAATCATTTCTTAAATACTTAATTATGAGCGTCATTTATTTTTATCAAACAAACTAAAATTCAAAGAGTTGCTTTCTGTATGTGAGAATATGTTTGTGACTTTGCTGCTTTCATTTGGAAGCGTGACTTCTCGAAAGCTGACTGCTTCTAATGCCATCTCTTCAACAAACACTATTTTTGCGTTTACTGTGGTAAATAAGGTAAGTAACAAAAAAAAAATAAATGACTGTGTGCATATAAATGGCTGGCTTTTTCTCCAGCAGAGTTGTGCATGCACGTGCTCTATCTATAGGCACTGCAGGGGTTAACTAATCTGCATAATTTGCATAGTATTGCCTGTCAAAGCATAACAATTTAAATAAATAAAACTATTAAAAAAAAAAAATTAGCACAATCAGTAGCTAGCTTATAGTTACCTATATGCTTGTGCTAAAACCCGGGAAGTGTCAACTCCTCTTTAACCCCTTAAGGACACATGACATGTGTGACATGTCATGATTCCCTTTTATTCCAGAGGTTTGGTCCTTAAGGGGTTAAAAAAAACACTATGGCATAAGTAATACAAACAATAACTAAAATCTCTCTTGTTCTTTCTCAGTTTCCTGCTACCTATCTCCCTCTGTGCTGGGGTTTGAAAGGTGGGATTTACTTATCTCTCAGCCATCGACGCGCTGGTCTCCATGATGTTGTTCCGTTTCCTTGGCGGAGAGCATTAAAAAAAATGATGTTGCAATTGGGAGGCTATTGTGCATGCGCGGCAAAACATTTTGCCTCTGAAATGCTGGTGTATGAGCAGCATTGTATCTATAACCAAGTTTGACTGGGTTAACGCACAAGTGTTTTTAGTTACTGTCTTCTTGATTGCCACGAGAGGCATGTTAACCCTACAGAATAGCAATATTTACATTACAGGCTTGAAAACAGAGGGACACTGCATCAGTGGCGGATCCAGAGCCTGATCTCGGGAGGGGCACTTGTAGATTATTTAAATAAATAATCCAGGCACAATAACCACTACAGCTCAGTGTAGTAGTTATGGTGTCAGTAGTGCCAGGATTCCACCCCAGAGTAAGTAGTCATACCGTTTAAGAACAGTTTGACAACTTACCTGGGGTCTGCTGGGATATAGGGTATAGGAGAAGTGGTGTGTGTTAAGGGTGAAGTGTGTGAGTGCGGCAGTGTATGTCAGGGACAGTGTTTGTGGGGCAGTGTGTGTATGGGGACAGTGTTTGTGGGGCAGTATGTGTATTGGGACAGTGTTTGTGGGGCAGTGTGTGTATGGGGATATGTGTGTTTGTGGGGCAGTGTGTGTATGGGGACAGTGTGTGTATGGGGGACAGTGTTTGTGGGGCAGTGTGTGTATGGGGACAGTGTGTGTATGGAGGGGCAGTGTGTATATGGGGACAATGTTTGTGGGGAAGTGTGTGTATGGGGGCAGTGTGTGTGTATGGGGACAGTGTTTGTGGGGCAGTGTGTGTATGGAGAGAGTGTTTGTGGGGCAGTGTGTGTATGGGGGGCAATGTACGTATGGGGACAGTGTTTGTGGGGCAGTGTGTGTATGGGGGGGCAGTGTGTGTATAGGGACAGTGTTTGTGGGGCAGTGTGTGTATGGGGACAGTGTTTGTGGGGCATTGTGTATGGGGGGCAGTGTGTGTATAGGGACAGTGTTTGTTGGGCAGTGTGTGTATGGGGACAGTGTTTGTGGGGCAGAGTGTGTATGGGGACAGTGTTTGTGGGGCAGTGTGTGTATGGGGGGCAATGTGTGTGTATAGGGGACGAGGTATGTGTGGGGGGCAGTGTGTGTGTGGGGAGCAGTGTGTGTATAGGGACAGTGTTTGTTTGGCAGTGTGTGTGTAGGGACAGTGTTTGTAGGGCAGGAAGATGTGTGTATGGGGACAGTGTTGTAGGGCAGTGTGTGTGTATGGGGGAGCAGTGTGTGTATAGGGACAGTGTGTGTATAGGGGACCCCGTGTTTGTGTGGGGCAGTGTGTGTATGGGGACAGTGTTTGTGGGGCAGTGTGTATGGGGGCAGTGTGTATGGGGACAGTGTGTGTGGGGGCAGTGTGTGTGTATGGGGACAGTGTTTGTGGGGCAGTGTGTGTGTGTATAATGGGGGGCAGTGTGTGTAATGGGGGTCTTGGTGTGTGTGTATGGGGGTGCGGTGTGTGTGTATGGGGGAGGCAGTGTGTGTGTATGGGGGGCAGTGTAGTATAGGGCAGGTGTGTGTGTATAATACAGGAGCAGTATGTGTAATGGGGGGCAGTATGTGTATAGAGGCAGTGTGTATGAGTGGGGGAGCAGTGAGAGCTGTGTAATTGGGGGGCAGTGTGTGTGTAATGGGGGGGCAGTGTGTGTATAGGGGGGGGGGAAGGAAAGGAAATAAATATCCTATGTCCCCCCTCCCTTCTTACCTTTATTTAGGAGGAGGGGGGACATTTCCCTGGTGGTCAGGTGGTCTGAGTGAACTCTAGCCCGCGCTCCCGGGCTAGAGTTCACTCTCGCGAGATTTGGAGCGTTGCCGTGGTAACCGCGGCAACGCTCCAAATCTCGAGAGAGGAGGACCCGGAGGAGCTGCAGACTGAGCTCCGGGTCCTCCCTCTCACTCCCTCCCTCCGCCGCCGGCTGTCAGCACAGTGCCTGCAGACCGGGGAGGGAGATCTCTGATCTTCCTCCCCGGTCCGCAGGCACATTGCAGGGCTGGCACTTGGGCAATGCCAGCCCTGCCTTAGCCGGCAGGGGGGAATCTCGGGGGGGGCAATTGCCCCGTTGCCCCCCCCCTGGATCTGCCAATGCACTGCATCCAGTCCACTTCACAGAGATTAAATGTGCTTTACGTTGCATCAAAGTTGACCAGGTGTCCGAAGGCTAAAGTGTAAAACCAATTTAAAAATAAAAAAGGTAATAACCTGACCTAAATCACGCGGGTCAGTGCAGTATAGCAGGGGCACAACAATGAGCACGCTGCATTTCAACGTTAAAGGACCAATATAGTGCTAGGAAATCATACTCCCGCCGGGCTCTAAGGGGTGGAAGGGGTTAAACTTACCTCTTTCTCCAGCGCCGGGTGGGGGACTATCCTCCTCCTCGGCTGAATGCGCATTCAGCCATTCCATAGGAAAGCATTCACAATGCTTTCTTATGGACGCTGGCATCTGCTCACTGTGAAAATCACAGTGAGAAGCACGCAAGCGCCTCTAGTGGCTGTCAATAACATAGGGTTAATCCTAGCTGGACCTGGCACCCAGACCACCTCATTAAGCTGAAGTGGTCTGGGTGCCTATAGTGGTCCTTTAACAACAGGTCTCTCTGCCTCATAGTGTTTATTCACAGAACTCCGAACCGTAGCGAACTCAATTCCAAATATAAATTATTGAATTTCAAATTTACGGCCAAAGTCGCCAAATCAAAAGCTGATTTTTTTTTTAATTTTTTTTTACCAGTTTTCCAATTTTCACCCTTAAATTTTAAATTCACTTTGAATTCTCACTTAATAAAAAAAAAAAAAAGAAAAAAAAAAAAGAAGAAGCCATAAATATATATATATATTGCCCAGTCCAGCAGTGTATTGATATTGAATTCACACATTATATCAGTGTTTTTAGTGTGTGTTTTTAGAGAAGCCTTTGTGGGTTTCCATGCTCTGGGCTGTATGTACTAAACAGCACATTATAAAGAACTCACTGAATGCACACTAAACTAGGCTTGCTGTTACCATGGCTCCCATTGATAATTCGTCCTATTTGGTTATTTTAAATGCAATGTCGCAGCTCCGTGTTCGGGTGATGTTTAAAATCCGGGGGACAGCCGCTAAAAAAAATAAAAAAATAAAAATAAAATCTCTCTCTCTTTCTTTCTCAGCAGCACCGCGTGGGCTCATTTACCCTGACCCAAAATGGCGGCCGCCTGTCCGCGAAGCCACGCCCCTTCGAATGTAGCCCCTTCCAATCCGCTGGCAGGATCCCCCCCGCAGCAGCTCGTCCTGTAGGCCCCGCCCACTCCCGGCGGCAGGCCCGCCTCCTTCTCCCTGGATCACCCCCATGGCCCCTCCTCTCCCCACGGCCGTCCCCAGACGTCATCGCTGCCGTCACCGTAGGAGAGAGGGACCTCATAGAGCGGCGGGCTGAGTGAAAAGAGCCTACTTTTGTTGTTCTTGTTGTCCGTGCTCCGCTCCTTCCTCCCGGGGGAAGCAGCAACGCGGTGAGTGCCTGCTCGTCACGTGACCCGGCTGGTGGCCGCACCGTGCTGCCCAGGACAATAAGGGGCCAAATGTCCCCCCCACCCCCGGATAAACCGGGCCGTGCTGGGGGCCAAGTCCATGCACATGTCACTGGACCCATGTGTCCCCTCTCCTAACCCTGGGTGTAATCATGGCCCCCTACTACATTAACCCCTCTGTCGCTGGGGGTGCTCCTCTCAGCCTCTGGTGCTGGAAGGGTTAATGTGTGGTGGCCAAAAAAAATCCTTTGTACCCCCCTTCCCAGCACTGATGGCTGAAAAACCTTCCAAATATGGTAGGACTACAACTCCTACAATGCCTGTCACATCTTTAAGGCTAATAAAGCATCATGAGAGTTGTAGTCCTTCTGTGGTTGGAGAGAGAGGTGGGGGGGGGGCTTGTTTTTGGCACCCCCCTTGCCTCTCAGCATGCACCCCCTCTAAGGCTCCCAGTGCTGGTGGGGGGGGGGGTTACACACACATATTGGGTTAGAGTGTAATGCATTGGGAATCTTTTTTTTACAGGGAACTGGTTACTACAATATCATATAAAATTCTAACAACTTTGAGTGAGTTCATAAGAGCCCTCTACACTATTGTGTTCTGCACTAAACTCTAAATTGTTACAAATTAAAGGTTATTTTCAAAAGTAGCGGATTTGGAAGAAGAAGAAAAAAATAAAATAATAATCTCCATGGCTGCTATGGTTTTTGCCAGAATTTTGTTAATTCTGTAATTCGATTTAGAATGTTGTTCAATTCAGAGTTTAGTGATGGAATTAGAGATCCATGTTGTACGTACATGTAATCTTAACTGTTGCTCCACGCCAAGTGGTCTTCATTATTTGTAAACATGTAAAGCAATAGCATTCTATTGCATTGTCCTTTTAATCCTCCATTCCCAACCAGTTTCTGATCTAAAAAATATTCACGTAACATTTATTAAAAGTGAAGGATGATGCATTGCTAGTACATAAACATGTAACAAAACCGCAATATTGTGCATATATTGCTTTTCAGACAAAAATCTAATTATGAAAATTATATGCAATGTTTCATTTTCACTTATTCATCATTTTATAAAAAAAAATGTTTAAGAATGAAAATTCACACAGGGTCCGAAATGTTAGTATAAAAGCTAGAAATGCCATTTCTTACATACAGTCGGTGTGACAAAAGTAGAGAGATATATTATTTTAAATTCCTTTCTTATAGGTATCTGTAAGTGCCCTAAAAGTATTACTACCAGTATAACTTACTAAAAATTGCAAAAGAATTCAAAAAATGTCAGGGTTTGAGTATAATGCTACATACAGTAAATGCAGTTAAATCATATATTTCTAAGATTTAAAACTGCTATAGCAACCTTGATCAAACTAATGGAAGAGTTGATTAATTTCTCGCCCCCTTGACTGTAGAAATTATATAACCCAATGAAACTTCCTTTACGGTCTGGAAGCGGGGTGTGAACAGACATTTTTAGCAAACTTGCAGGAATTAAAACAGTGACCAGTGGCTTCTAGTAGTGAAATTTGTTCATGTACATGCTGGTGGTAATCATTCATAGAGTATACATTTTATGGATTAAATTTCATTCTGCAAATCCAAGTATCAAATGATAGGTCACCCCTAATAGGTTTTGGATGTAGCAGTTGTTTTCAACACTAAAGGTGTCTGTGTACCTGTAGGTCTTAAACGTGCTCAACAGACAATCAAATGGTGTGTAAGCTTAGTGGTCATCAGTTCTGAAATCACCTTAGTGACCCATCCATGGATGTAGCATATACGGCGTTTAGGAACCACTAATGTAAATTATTATTGTTTATTAAAATGTTCATACCTCGCATGTAATTATTTGCATTGATGAAATTTTTCATCAAAATAACAGGGATTTGTAACTTAATAGATAAAAATGCTAGTTTTTGTTTAATGCAAGTATCTTTTTATGTAGTGTATTCAGAGCTGCATTTTGAACTCATGTTTTTATTTTATTATTTATTTTTTAAAATTTCTTTTATACATTAAATTTTTTCCCATGTTGTAATGGCTAAAAAACCTGGTCTTTCAGTTGGTTAAGATACTTCCATCATATCTATTTATTTGTATATACAATTAGGATTATCTATACAAATGTTATATGTATGGGATTTTAAGTAGTATTTTGGTATTTTAACATAAATAATATTGCTACAACACTGGCAATTCTTCAGTATGATTTTTAAAGGTAAACTGACGGTAGTGTTTTTATTATTGAAGGCAAAAGATCACCTTTTGCAATGCGTGCATTTAAGAACCTCTTTTGAGTATATTTTCTGGTTTACCCTACATCTGCATGAATTGCCCTTTTTAACCTGTGGTTTGAAGCTTGGCTTAATCAGGCCAAACAATATACAGGTGGCAGAGAGCTAGTACAGCATCACAAATGCAGATGCCATACCTAAACTCAGAACATCACAAACCCCCAATCTGAGTCAGTTTTGACAGTTTAGATTGGGCATGATCTGAAGGTCATGTAAACAATATTTTAGTCCAAAGGAGACTTAAATCTAGCTGCCCCTACATAATCCTGTTAATACAGGAGATATACTGAAAATGGTTGCTTGTATTTTTACATTACACTTGAAAAACATTTGACATGGTTATATTTTAGTTTTGAAAATCAAAATTGACATTTTCAACCAAAAAAGATAAATTGCTTAGTCTTTTTTTCTGTCTTAATTCAGAGGCCCTTCAATCTCTACAATGTAGAAACAAATCGGCCTTTGTAAAGCTAATGTGTACTGTTGTTCATATTCTATAGATTTATACAATGTGTTGTAAATGACGGTTTTGGGTCTGGTAATTACACAAACTGATTTGACATGAAATATGTAGGACCATTATTATACCAACCAAATCAGGGAATGCAGCTATTGGTATTACAACATTCGTGTAATGGGTGTTTCTGATTAGAAACCTTTTTTTTTCTCATTTAATTTCATACAATATTTATTTTACTGCTAATTCACAGTGTGGTGTTGTTGTTTTGGCTACAAAGATGACCCTTTTAACCCCTTAAGGACACATGACATCTGTGACATGTCATGATTCCCTTTTATTCCAGAAGTTTGGTCCTTACGGGGTTAATGTCCCATTTTCTCTGGACTCTGGTTATTTAAAGTGGTAAAATAAGTTCCATGCTGGGCCAATGTGCTAAAAAACCAAGTGATCACTATGTAAACTGATAGAATATCTTTCAACATTTAGCCCTTTACACAGTAGTACGACCTGTTTGACATTATAAATATCACTTTGAGTGAGGATTTTTGTTTCTCTACATTGTAAAATCTTTTTTTTTTTTATTTACTAAAGTTATTGTAAAGCAATATGGGCAGCTCTAACTATTGGACACATGTATTAAATGTATTTTGTCTTCTTGTAGCAAAGTTATTAAAGGGGTAGTTTTTTTGTTTTTTTGATCACTATAAATTTCCACTAGCATACTAGACATATTTTAGAATTGGTTGACTTCAACAGATTTTTGTACAGATTACAGACCAAAGACCACAAATGTAAAAACAAACCTATTCCGTTGAACTGAATTAGAATGAGCAGAGGAGTTAATGGTGAATGTGTGTAAACAACTGCCAAAAGAACTCCTCACAAATGAATACAATTTTGGAGTTAAACTCCATCGTTCTGTGGAAAGAAAAAAAACTTACGGATCAACTTGACACATGTTTCCTGAAATGCTAACATTTAATTCTGCAAATAGCTTGTGAAAAAAAAACTAGTCAAATTTTGGGTGATTAATTTGCAGAATTCCGCAGAATTTCACAATCTCTCCAATCACTAGATGTCCAGAACCAGTCTGTTTTTTTTTTTTTTTTGATACCCCGCAAGGATAAATGTATATTTTTCTAGTTGCATGCATGATCACCTGAGTACTTTAGTATATCCAGAAATAATTTTAACCCTTTGATAACCTTTAACTTGCCGGTCCTGAAGCTAGTACATTTACCATCACCCTGTCTTAAAGGAGTTAAAGCATAGCTTAGACACTTATGTATGTAATGAAGTGTTCTTTATCTTCTAAGGCAAATAAAAAACCTGCTTTATTATACACAGCAGCTCTTGTGTCCACAAAACACACAGAATGCCATGCAAGGTATGCAAACGAACGCATACAGCATTGTAGCTTTTAGATTTCCTGCCCACAGTTCTGTAGGTTCCCTAGCAACAGCTTACTATCGTGAACTAAGATTTTCAGCCAGAAATTCAGGTTAGGATCTGAATGAACTGTTGCCCATTTTTTGGGATAATTAAAAATAATAAATTTTACCCCCTCTGTATCTTGTTATAACCCATCATTTAGTTAAAATGCAATAGAAAAGATTGGAAATGGAGAAAACGTTTCCTCACCGTTTTGCCTATAATTTATATAATTATAAGTGCATCCAAAAATATTTTTTGTTCATGTGTTGAGAATACCTCATGCCTAGGATTTTTTTGTTTTTTTTGTTTGTTGTTCTTTTGCAGTTGCATGTCTAATATGTCAAAAAAGAGCATTTCAAGACTTTAGTGTCATGGGCCTCTAAGCTGAAAGTTAATCTCCAAGCACTATAATCACTACAGTGCACCGTAGTGGTTATGGTTCCAGGGGAGCCTTGGCACCCTCTCATAGTAAGGAGTCTAAGTGTTTTAGAACGATTTGACTTCTTTCATTTGTTTTGCCTAGTGCCACTTCTCGCCTTCTCTACTGCTCAGTTGTGCTTGGCGTGGTTTTTTTATAAATGTACCTGTTGTGTTACCTGCTCATTTATTTAATATAAAAGGGCATGCACTTACATGTATACATTGTGCTATCAAAATTGTGAAAAACAAATCTCAATTTGGTTGTGGTCACAGCTTGGCTATTGTAATCAGAATTTTTGCTGTTTATTTTTTTGGTATAATTCGGAGCTTAATGAATTACCTTTTAATTAAAACCCCATTCATTTACATTGTTACCCTGAAATTTGTATCAAATAGTAGACCAATCAGATTTCCTCCCCCCCTTTTTTTCTTTTTCCATTTTCATGTGGTTTTAAACTTTCAATATTGGTGCTAGTAACCTTCATTATTGCCACTAATTGCAATTTAAAAAACAAAAACAAATTAACAATAACTCTCACATACATAATAGCATTGTATAATTCAATTTATATTTGGAATCTGTTTATGTATACCTGCATCATTTGTCCTTATGTAGCAAAACCCCTCCACGTGCCTAGGTTTTTAAGTATGTAAAATCTGTATTGCTGTACCGATCTCATTGATTACTTGGTGAAAGCAAATCACCAGATAGAGATTTAGAAGGTAGAATCTTTGCTCTATTCCAAATGTGTTTGTTTGTCCTTGGTAACTTGCAATGTTAATGTGTACCTTGCATTGTGAGATCAGCCAGATGTGAACAAAAGACAGGGCTCTTCCCAGTTTACACTTGTGTATTATCAATGTCCCATCAAACTTGGAAAGCATTGATTGGCTAAGAGTGCTGGGATGGTACCCTGAGATTCTGTGCAACATAACCACCAGTTCATTGAGCTAAGGTGGTTCTATTTCTTACTGTGCCCCTTTACGGGATTAAGTAGTTGGATATAATCTAAAAAAAAGTAAATTAGCTGATTTTGTGACCACAAGCTAACCTGGACCAATCATAAATACAGTGTAGCTGAAAAAATAACCTAGGTTTTTTGCTATGCAGCTTCTATGGTTATTACCTAAATCGACAATCCCCATGTAATTTTATTTATAACACCGACTAGTTTTCACTTTTTTGTGTGTGTGTAAAGATTTTAGGATTTCAACTTTAATGAAGAAGAATCACGTTGCATTGCTATCTGCTACGCTGGGGTTTGCATGTTTAGAGCACTTTGTGAACTTGAGGCTGTGGGCTAAATTTGGCATCTCAAGGGGCCTTCGCTCAAGTGATCCTAGGACTGCTAATGTCACAGAAATTTGCTCAAGCTGCAAGATTGGATTAAGTCTGCGTTGGCTAGTCCCCCCCTCTCCCCCCCCCTTTTGGGGGGATGAGGGGGGGGGTTGGTTTTGCTGTAGAGCAACCAATTCTTTTACTTAGAATAAAATTGCATTACTTTAAAAAAATAAATAAATTGCATTTATTTAAAACCTGCTTTCTATAGTGCTTATAATTATGTTAATGGAATATACCATTCTCTCTGGGTTATATATTTTTTGATATTCACCTTTATATTTATTGACTCCAGTGACTCTGGCTTTCTGGAAGAATATCAAGGTGACCTACTAGGAAATTGACTTTCCTAGTTGTCAAGTTACTTTTTAATACTTGCCAACACCAGAAGAAACATTTTTGTTTGTTACCTGACATGTTGTATCTCCTAAAATCATGGTTCATGGTCCGATAGTAAAGCACCAAAGAACCATGTTGGCTATCATTTAAGTAGTTTGGTTGAAGGGTCTCCTTCTGAATAAGTAGAAAGGTTGTTTGGTATGAAAGGTTGTTCTCACACAAGATTGCTAAAGCAGATGATTTTCAGTACATCTTTTTATCCCTCCAGAAGTCAGGGGCAGTCAAAATGAAGTCTCAACTTTCCATGAAAGAGCAAAAGAGAACATTCTGATGCCAAGTTTCCTGTGTGAGCATGCTTGAGTTCTTCATCTCAGATTGGAAAAAAATGAAGAATCCTTGGCTTGGCTACAGTTATTAGCTAAGTTTTTGGAACCACCTCCCCTTCTATTAGAATTTCCATCTTCAGTTGTCCACTTATGCAGGACCATCTTCTCACCAAAGTTTTTGGAAAAGAAACACTGGCTGAATTCATTCAAAATTGGATTGGAGATTCTGAAGTTTGCATCGCAAGTCATCTGAAAATGATCTCATGAAATCTTTAGATCATCAGGATTATTATATATAACTCTGTCTCTTGTCAGTTAATGTGGTTTTTATTTCTTGCACAGGATCCTTGACTTCCAGTTCCGTACTCTCCAGTTGCCTGCCAGGATCTTTATAAAGACTCTGTTGCTAGCAACAATGGATAGCAATAGCTCTATACATTCATTGACTCATTGTGGTATCCTCCAAGGAATCCTGGTTAAGGATTTTCAGCTAACAATTGGCTGGTGAATCTGTAAACGTCTCAACTACTTCCTTCAAGAAGTAATGTCCTCTTGGATTTCAGCTTTGGCTCAGTGGAAATAAAATTTCTGGTATTAAAGAAAAATATTTTTTAAATTTGTTCTGTCCAATTGTCCCTGAAGGTGCTGGGGTCTCTGTCTCCATTGCATCTACCAAAGAGGCCAGAAACAGAATGTGCCCACTTCAAGTGAATTTCTTGAGGAAGTGTTCCTTAAATGTATATTCTGTGTATTCGGCCATCGTTCTTCAGCTTCATTGGTGGCTGATGTCTTCATTTTTTAAGCTGGACCTTCCTTTCCATTACACTCATTAGACCGTTGCCTCCACCAACCTCTTAAAAGTTTGCTAGGAGGATCCGACTGTGTTCAAGGAAATTGGACTGCTGAAGAAACCTCTGTTCTTCAAACTCAAGGTGATCTGGTACACCTTAAAGCATTTCAGTCTGCTGGTCTTCAAGTTTGCACAGTCATTATTTTTGCATTGGCATATATCCATTGCAAGCATGGACCAGTGTTCCATCTCGATTAAGATATGTGCTCAGATTGTGCACTAAGCAGAGAAACATCTGGAAGCACTGTCATCAGTTTACATAAAAGAGAAATACTTAAGAAGTGGGAGTTAAGCAGACTGTGAATTCAACCCAACAAGTTTCCAACAGGTGAATGAAGAATTCAGGAGAAGTGTTATAAATCTGATGGACCCATGCAAAAATGGGTTATATATTTTTTTCAACTCTTTATCTCCCTTTCAGCAAGAGACAAGACAGATTTTTTTTTTTTTTTAGCTGCTCTCACTCCCTTGGTGTTTTTGGCTAGCTTATAATTTCCTTGGTTCTGATGAAGCAATGTTGAATAGTCCTCTACGAATGTGATGGTCCAGACCATGGCAACCTTTCATTTAATACACATGGTTTGCGTGGTTGATTTTGCAGAAGAAGGGCTGGGTGAAGAGATGATTGATGCTTTGTTATAATATACCAAATGAGCTACCTCTTACACATTTCTGCAGTTGTATCTCTGCTGGAGTACTTCTTTTAGATCAGAGGTGGACATTCTAAAGCAGTGGTAGGCAACCGACGGCACTCCAGATGTTGTGGACTACATCTCCCCATGATGCATTGCCAGCATTATAGTCTTAAGAGCATAATGGGAGATGTAGTTCACAAATTTGGCCTACCCCTGTTCTAAAGGGGGACCTAGCTAGGCAAAGAAAGGTCTGAACATCCAAATTGCAACCCTAAGTTTGGCCTGGTATCTAAGTTGCTTATTAAGTGTTTCTGTAGGGAAGTTGTTGTTTACGTTTCTCCAGAACAAACTTGTCCAGCAGTGATACACATATTCTCCAAGCACCATTTTTGGGACTTTTAAGGTGTGGCTTTTGGGCATCAGGTGACCCTCCCAATTGAATTTTTTCCTACTAACAAATATCGAAAAAACATTTTCTTACTGTAAAATCCCTTTTTTTGAGTGTTTGAGGTATTCCTAATTTTTCATTTTTTACATACTAAACATGTATTTTTGCAGTAATTAAATGTCTTGTTTAACTAGGGGTTTTGAGGGGGCTTTCTTTCCTACCCTATATTTACTTGAGAACTAGATACTATTGCTTTTAAAGGGGACTCTGTTGGCATCCAGACCACTTCATCTTAATGAAGTGATCTGAGGGCCATGTCCCCATCCTTTTTAACCCTGCAAATCAAAACATTTTTGCAGGAATGGTAATGTTTTCATTGGAGGATTAACACGCCACTACAGGTGATTCCCAAGCTGTAATAGTTAGTAATAGTTCAAATTTATAGAGGAAATTTGATTGGTGCAGCACTGTTTTGCCACACATGCACACTAGCCTTCCAATCCAATGTATAGGAGAACACTATAATTTAGGAGTACGTATTTGTATTCCTAATGCTATAGTGTTCCTTTAAGTTTTTCATAGCTCTATAATCTTGTACATCAGGGCTGTATGTGAGACTTACATTACAGCTGTTTTAGCTCTGAAGCTTGGGGTTGGCCAAGAACAAATACAGGATTTCTTTTCAGTGCTGTGTTTCTAAGGCTTGGTAATTCAATCCATGTTGACCCAAGTTGAACTTTTATTTTGAGATATAGAAGGTTTTTCGTTTTTTTAAAGAAGGTCATTAGTTTCCACACCTGGCATTTGCAGGGGACCCTGGGCAACAAATATTAACAGTGCTCGTTCACTAGCTATTGTGAGACCCATATCAAGCCTGGATGAAATGGTCATTTAGAACTGTGACATCACTGTGTCTTATGATTTTATCAGGGTCTGATGCCAGCAGTGAGAGTTTTGTGCACACCTTTAAAATATAAACAGCTCACGCTGTACCTCCAGGCAAATTCAAATCCACCTGTGAGTGCAGCACATGAGCACCACTCATGAATGGGGACATTTTTTTTGTATTTTTTATTTTACACAGCAAGTCCCATGGTAGATTCTTCACAAGAGGTGGACTTTCCCTCCCCCTCCTTCCCATCCCAAAAAACTTGAAGTATTGTGGCCACTATGGGAGTGACTTTGCTTGTGGCTGCCTTAAGTATTCCTGTGTTGATTGCTCACAGACCACATGCAAAGAGTTGATGTTTCCAGATGATCAGATATCATACTTGATGTAATATTGACTTGTAAATTGATATTTTCCCCACTATGCAGTAACTGATCAGTTCTGTGCCGTGCAAATTGAAACACAAACATCTCCTTTACAATTTAAAATAAATGTCTTAAGTACTCCCGCCTGTGGCTGTTATCATAACCTTATGTGATATTTATTGTTCTATTAAATACAAAAGCTGATTTGACTGCGGTGTGCTCGTTTTAAGCTATATCAAATCAGAGAGGCTTTAGATGTGAAATTATTTGCCTTTGGTTGGTAGGAGTTAATGAAGTATCACTGGAGGTTGACGAAATCTGCTTTAGATTGAAACCAAACCTTTGAGACTGGGTTTAACTTTTGAGATATATATATATATAATTTGACATCTGAAAACTATTATGGCAATTCCCAACACAATCTGTCCTAGTTTTACTAACGTGGTTTTGTTTTGTTTTTTGTTTTTTTAAATTGCAAATTCAGTTTTGACAAACTCCATTTTCATGAATTTTCTGATTGTAGCAGTAATAGGAATGAGTTTAAGGTTATCTATGCTTTGCTCTGCTCCTTTAATATTAAGATTAGTTAGAAATAAGAAAAAAAAAATCCTATATATAATAAAAAGGGTAACAATTTGTACCAACCCCTGCCAGTTCAAATTTGCTTTGGGATTCTGTGAAAATCTATCCATGAAATAAATTTTTGCATATTAATTTGTTTCCATTTATTTTCAGGTCAGAATGTACGTAAAATATGCAACAGACCAAGCGCAATATAGTTGACGGCACACGCTGATTTTTGAAGATGGATAAATGTAGACACGTTGGCCGTTTGCGGCTTGCCCAGGATCATTCCATCCTAAATCCTCAGAAGTGGCATTGCGTTGACTGCAACACTACAGAGTCTGTGTGGGCCTGTTTAAGCTGTTCACATGTAGCGTGCGGACGATACATCGAGGAACATGCACTGCGTCACTTTCAGGAAAGTAAGCATCCTATGGCACTGGAGGTGAATGAACTCTACGTCTTTTGTTACCTCTGTGATGATTATGTTCTCAATGACAATGCCACTGGTGACCTTAAACTTTTGCGAAGTACATTGAGTGCGATTAAAAGTCAAAACTATGACTGCACGACACGCAGTGGTCGAACTTTGCGGTCTATGGTAGCTGCTGATGACTCGTACCTGTCTCATGAAGGTGCACAAGCCCTCCTTCAAAATGAAGACCGCGCGTTCACTGCACTCTGGCACCGGAGACATGCTTTGATGGGGAAAGTCTTTCGATCTTGGTTCGCTTTGACACCGAAAGGCAAACGAAAACTGGAACAAGAGCGCTTAAGGGAGGAGGCTGAACAAAAGAGAGAGCAGGCAAGGGAAAGGAGACAGCTGATAAAACGGAGGCTGAAAGAAGAAATGGAAAGCACTCCCCCTAGAAAGAGTTCTCGTCTGCAACAGCAACTGCAGTCTCCTCCCGAAACTGTATTGTCTGACACGCAAAAACAGAACCAAAAAACAACTCCTACCACAAAACATCCATCAGCACCTACCTCGGATGAAGTGAACGTGAAACAAATAGGTGATTCGCCAATAAAAAGGAAACCCACTGTGACCCCTGGGGTAACGGGACTGCGAAACCTGGGGAATACCTGTTATATGAACTCCATTCTTCAGATCTTGAGTCATTTACATGTTTTCCGAGAATGTTTTTTACAACTTGATCTTAATCAAACTCAGGAGTTATTGGCTGCTGCAGCCAATGGTAAAACGAGATCCTCCAACAAATATCCACCTGCGGTGGACTTTACCAACCCTAAACAAAAGCACACTAAAGTTGCAAGGTCTTTGGCAAGGCGTCACAGCTTCTCCTCTGGCCTTAGTGGGGGGGCATCAGATAGTACAAACATGGAACTCATTCAGCCCAAGGAGCCCAGTTCAAAGCACATATCTTTATGCCATGAGTTGCATACCCTCTTCCAAGTCATGTGGTCTGGTAAATGGGTGCTGGTTTCTCCCTTTGCCATGCTACATTCAGTGTGGAGACTCATCCCCGCCTTCCGTGGATATGCGCAGCAGGACGCTCAGGAATTCCTCTGTGAACTTTTAGATAAAGTACAACAAGAACTGGAAACTACTGGGACCCGGTACCCAGCCCTGATTCCCAGTTCCCAAAGGAAGCTCATCAAGCAAGTCCTAAATGTGGTCAACAATATTTTTCACGGGCAGCTTCTCAGCCAGGTACGTTAATGGTTCACAAAATGTCATGAGCAGATTCCTACTACCCGAAAGCAGTTTATTAGACGGGCACAAATGAAACTATAATTTGCAGTTAAAGCATATGGCTCCTAGCTATAAAACAGTTTTGTAACCTTGTGGGTACATTTTACGTTGTTTAGCAGTAAGTGTTGATCAAAAATGAGACTTGAATCCTGTTAACTTTTTAAAATTTATTTATTTTAATCGCTAGAATATCTAGTCTGTTATTATGTTCCATGAAAATTCTTACTGCCCGTCAATTGTATTTATTTTTAGTAGTGAAAGTAACATCTGAGCATTAATTTTATTTGTGTGATGTCCTATTCAGTCACTCGGTATGAAACGTATATGAAGGCATTTGCCATAGCTGTGATTTGAAGTGTACAAGCACTGATAAAATGTCAATAGGAAGTTTGAATGTGGTTTGATGCAGTTGCATAATGCCGACATTGTTTGCTCCCATAATTATTGTATTTGCAGTGAAGAGAGACATGCATATCTAAGTAAATATAGTTTTTTATTTATCTATTATTTTTTTTGCACTGGACTTTACTTACAGCTGCCGATCACGGTGCTACATTTGCAGTGGTCGCTTAATGCACTGCTCAGAAGCAGGGATTGTTAATAAGTGACCTGCTCTCTGACCTACTGCTCCATAAAGCCCTGTGCTTTGTCCTGCAGTGGAAGCTGTAAACATGCCATTTTTACGTACACTGAGGCACGACAATCAAATCCCACCAAGGGCATGCCAAGTCATTAGTGCTTTTGTTCAACACCCCATGCTGGTTATCTGTACTGTCTACAGCGCTTGTTGATTTTTGTCTTACATTTTTATTGAAGGCCAGATGGCAGAACGGGTATATAAAATTGGACTCAGCCTCGCAATAGGTCCACCTTTTCTGTTACAATTTGGATAAAGTGGTTTTGTTTCTCTGCTGTAACCACAGGCATAATAACTTCAGCCTAGGGAAAACACGCCTGCTAATTTGTCCCTTTCATTGTCTATTTTTGTTCTTTTTAAGAGTATTGCGAAATATCCACTTCTGCTTTCAGCACCCACATTTCTGTTGCAAACTTTCGGCTTAAGACATTGGGTGATTGTAGTGGAAACGTCTGGCTTGAGACTCTAGATTTCCTTGTATTTTAAGAGGATTTTGTTATTGAACTCTAGATAGTTATTGTTATTGAAGTCTAGCGCAGTGGTAGTCAACCTTTTTCTACCTACTGCCCACTTGATGGAAAAATTTCCTTACCGTCCACCAGTTTTCGCGCAAGTGCAGAATATTTTTTAGAAAGGAGGGTGTTTAAAAAAAAAATTAAAAAATCTACGTACATTTATCTTTTTATTTCTACTTAATGCCTGTTTATAATGTTTTTAACTTTATAAAGTTTAATGAGAAAACAATAAAGTAAATTGAAATTACCTTTACTTGTGATTAATGAGATCCTTGAGGTTGATGCTGCGAGACTAAATATTTGATATCTGGTTCGATTTTCGTAAGGAACAAACGAAGGTCTCCTCTTTCGGTGATATTCAGACGACTTCTCTGTTTGCGCATAATATGATTTCTCATCTGTGAGTCAGCTCCCCTCCTCTCCCTCCTCAATTCCACTCCCCACCTTTTTTTTTTTTTCTATTTTTTAACCTTCCGTATAGCAATGCCCAGTAGGAAGGCTGAGCTAGGTAGCCCACTTACTATAACCCACTATAACAGACAAGCACACACAAGACACACATACACACACACATACATACAGAGGGGCACACACATACAGACACACAGACTGGCATACATACACAAGACACATACATACATACATACAAACAGACGGACACACACACACAGACATGCACACATACACACACATAAGACATACATACTAATACACACACACATACAAAGACACATACATACAAAGTCACATACACACACAACACATACATACAAAGACAAGACACACATACATACATACAGACAGTCTCTCACACACACACACACACACAAAGACACACAAACACACACAAAATATTTTAGTCACCCTCCTGTTTTCTACCTTTTAGGTGTAGGAGGGTGACTTTCCCTGGGGTCCAGTGGTGGCTCAGGTGAATGGGAGTCAGAGTTCGCACTCTGACTTCCTCTGCTTCCTCCCGTGCAGTCTGTGTGTTAGCTGGGAGGAGTGACGTGCAGTCACTTCCTCCCAGCGTGTGATGTAATAACAGGGGGCCTGGTCGCGCTGTTAAAGTGCCCAGTGCTGACCGGGCCTCCTTACAATCCACATCCATCGGGTGGCCCTGACAGCATGGGCCACCCGATGGACCCTTAGGACGGCGACCCCGGTGGTTTGCCGCGCTGGCCGGGGTCGCAAATGGTGATGGCGGTACCTGGTCGCAGGGGTACCGCCGGCTTGCACTGCCTTCCAGTCCACCCAATCTCTCACAATTAGGAAATCCCTAACGCCCACTAGTGGGTGGTAGGGACAGGTTGACGACCCATGGTCTAGAGAGTTGTTATGCAACTTTTTTTTTTTTTCTCTTCACACTAGTCCCAGAACACTGAGTGTATGGTTTAAAAAATATTTACATAGTGTGAGCAGCTTGGCTGCCAAGTTGCAATCTCACGTGGAACCATACAGACACACAGACTGGCACACATACAGACAGGCACACACAGACTGGCACACATACACAAGACACATACATACAAACAGACGGGCATGCACACATACATGCACACATACACACACATAAGACATGCATACATACACACACACATACATAAGACACATACACACACAACACATACATACAAAGACAAGACACACATGCATACACACATACATACAGTCTCTCATATACAAAGACATAGATACAAAGACACACAAACACACACAAAATATTTTAGTCACCCTCCTGTTTTCTACCTTTTAGGTGCAGGAGGGTGACTTTCCCTGGGGTCCAGTGGTGGCTCAGGTGAATGGGAGTCAGAGTTCGCACTCTGACTTCCTCTGCTTCCTCCCGTGCAGTCTGTGTGTTAGCTGGGAGGAGTGACGTGCAGTCACTTCCTCCCAGCGTGTGATGTAATAACGGGGGGCCCGGTCGTGCTGTTAAAGTGCCCAGTGCTGACCTGACCCCCTTACAATCCACATCCATCGGGTGGCCCTGACAGCATGGGCCACCCGATGGACCCCTTGGACGGCGGCCCCGGTGGTTTGCCACGCGGGCTGGGGTCGCAAATGGTGATGGCGGTACCCGGTCGCAGGGGTACCGCCGGCTTGCACTGCCCTCCAGTCCACCCAATCTCTCACAATTAGGAAATCCCTAACGCCCACTAGTGGGTGGTAGGGACCAGGTTGACGGCCCATGGTCTAGAGAGTTGTTATGCAACTTTTTTTTTTTCTCTTCACACTAGTCCCAGAACACTGAGTGTATGGTTTAAAAAATATTTACATAGTGTGAGCAGCTTGGCTGCCAAGTTGCAATCTCACGTGGAACCATTTGGAACAAAGTGAGAAAAATAATTCCTAATAGGAAACCGTTTTACCTAGTTGGACCCTCCTTCTGTTGATGTATAAATTTGTAATTCTTCTTGCTCAAGGTGAACAAACAAAAAAAACTTTTGTGTTTATTCTATAAACTGGGAATTGTGGAAAATTGATAACACAAATTGCAATAATTATGCCAATTTATTCTGCCTGGAAAAAAACAAACTTCACCTTCTTCATCCCTCCCAATTTACGGTTTAGTGAATAACCCAGTTTATGATTCCATGTCTGACAGCCAGGGGAGCATAACTAAGGATTTTGAAGCTCACAATATTCTCTTGATAATCAGTACTTTAACCCCTTAAGGACACATGACATGTGTGACATGTCATGATTCCCTTTTATTCCAGAAGATTGGTCCTTAAGGGGTTAAAGAGGACCTGACCTGCAGTTAAGCCTTAAAGCACCCTAGCTATCTTAATAGAGTGTACCTTACAAGAGAGAGCCCAACCTGGGTGGCATTCTCCAAGGAACTTTAGCTAATTAGTTGTTAAAAATAAATACTTATTGTGACGTCACCAGTTCTTTCGATGAAACAGGTCATAGTTCTATTCTAGGTTCTTGCTCATGGTTACACGTTTCTCTCAATCAAGCTTTCACGCGTTCCCAATGTAATACGCGTCAACAACTGGGTTGAATTAATGTCAAGCTTGTTAAACCGGCTAGAGAGTTCATAGAACGGGATGGAGTACGCACAAAACTACTTCTTAAAGAGGCACTTAAAGCACACAGATGCTGGTGGTGAATCATGCAAAATTCATCCAAGTTTTTATTAAATGATGAGGAAGTTCAGGTAAAGTTCTCTGCCACTCACTCACAGGAGAAGTGGTTAATGGAGATTTTGCTTCCTTAAAAGGTAGAATCATAAATGTGTTTAGTGGCCTAAAATAAAGTTTTTTACACCATTAAGGTGGTTGTTTAAAAGATTTTATTTATCTGGGATTTCTTGTGAATGACTTGTCTAATAAGACACACTTACTGTATTTCGCCCTCCACTTAAAGGCACACTCCAAGCACAATAAATTATGTCTCTCCCTGCCCCCTAGCCAAAGGTGAGAAGCACTGGGGTTTGCACAGTGTAATTGGCTGGCAAGCAGGCTCCATTCATAAGTACATAGAATGTTGTTATGAAATCAGCCAGTAGGTGGCCGTCACAGTAAAGGAAATCCATCTTCTGATATCAGAATTGATATTAGCAGAGGGATTTCTTTAGAGTTACTGGTGGGGTTAGGGGTAGGGTAAAGCTAGGGTTACCGGTATGGTTAGGGTTTGCTGTAGGGTTAGTGTTAGGTTAATATAAACTACCAAAAGTTAATTTAGATCCCGGACATATAAGACATTTAACAATCAGGAGTGTTAGAGGAATCTATTTTGAGGTTTTTTTTTTGTTTTTTTTTTCTTTCTTTAGTTGAACTGGATGTGTAAAAATTATTATATACGAAAAATTTGGAAATGCCCTTTTTTTAATTTTTTCCAACTTAACATTTTAGCTACACTTACTTAAAGTTGTTGGGTATGCATATAGTATATTAAATGAAAAATAATTTGTCCTTTAAAAAAATTTTTTTATAATATTTAAGGGTGCACTTAAAGAGAAACCCTTAAATTACCGTGGAACAAACACATAGCACACATTCTAGGTTTTGTTTTGGTTAATCCCTCCAAAGTATAAAAATATTATTTCCACCCTGGATTGTGTCTCTAAGTACTTTTTACTGGAAGCTTACCTGTGTGTTTACTTTGTGACACACCTATGAGTCATGGTAGTGTCCTTTATTAAATGTTTTATTGATCTGGATTATGCTGAAGTCAATGAGTGTTTAATTTTTTTGCAAGGGCTGACTCATGTTTTGATCATATCCAACAATGTGTATCTTTTAGAGTGCTATTAAAATGCAAGTTATGCTGTGTGACTCCATGTAACACGTGATTGTAGAAGAAATATTTCACTGATATCAAATACATGTACCGTAGATTCACTTTTATTTTTTTTGTAGAGGCTGTTCTATTTATAGTCAGAAGATCAGTTACTATGGTGATCATCTGACTAGAATACCCCCAAAAATAGATGGTTTGCCATCTTTCAAAAATCTTGAATCTTTATCTAATTCTAGGTTCTAATTCTACGTTATGTGTGTTACAGGGACACTCTAAGCACTGTAACTACTACAACAGACTGTAGTGCTTATAGTGCTTAGCGCTCTAGGAGTCCCCTGATGCAGTCACATGATGATTCAGACTTTTTTACAGTTTGAGACTTATGCGTTTGCCATATAATAAATATTTGTTTGGCTATATCTAGCCAGTTTTGGTGCTAACCATATTTAATTCACTGATACTCAGATTTTGCCCACACTGTCATATTCAGGAAATTGTGTGAATATTTAATGGACCACTATACTGAACCAGACCACTTCAGCTCAATGAAGTGATCTGGGTGCCAGGTCCCCCAGGTTTTAACCCTTCAGATGTAAACATAGCAGTTTCAGAGAAGTAAGTAACTGAAGGGGTTTTATCCCAGCAGGAGGGGGGCCCTGAGGGTGGGGGGGACCTAAGGGTTATATAGTGTCAGGAAAACGAGTTTGTTTTCCTGACACTATAGTGATCCTTTAAGGTGTACACCCAAACACACAGACCATCTCGTAAAATACGTATTCTTCCTATCCTGTCTTTGTTAAAGAAATATAAGAATGTATATTTCTAATTCTTCAGTGTCCCAGTCCCTAATAACAAGCTCCCTTCACCCTCAGTTCGGCATAAAAATAATTTTAGACGCCTTTCTATCACCACAGTGTTGTTTACTTTGACCTTTCATGGGTCATATAAAAGCAATGGGGACTAACTCTTCGTATAGGATAGCATTGAATCAGTCCTTTCATTTGGGGGCTGTAGTCCTGTGACTGAGTTGTACTCTGTTGCTGCAGCAGGAAGCACCTTTGGTGGCGATCAGTATGACAGCCACTACAGGACGAATTAAAAGGACACTATAGTCACCTAAACTATAGCTAAATAAAGCAGTTTCTGTATATAGATCATGTCTCTGAAGGCTCACAGCTCCGTTCTCTGCCATTTAGGAGTTAAATCACTTTTGTTTCTGTTTATGCAGCATTAGCCACACCTTCCCTGATGTGACTGACACAGCCTGCATGAAAGCAAAATAGTTTCATTTTCAATCAGATGTAACTTACTTTAAAAGTGTTTACATTCTGCTCTGTAAATTGAACTTTTACATACAGGAGGCTCCTGCACGATCTAGCAAGCTATTAACAGAGCAGGAGATAAGACATTTTTAATTAAAAAGAATTTGCAACAAAGTGTAAATATTAGATGACTCTTTACATGAAGTGTTTAGCAAGGCTAAATAAATCACATGATGCAGAGAGGTGTGACTAGGCCTGCATGAACAAAGTGATTTAAAGGGACACTATAGGCACCCAAACAACTTCAGCTCATTGAAGTGATCTGGGTACAGTGTCCCTTTTGGACTTAGTGCTGCAATGTTAAACATTGCAGTTCCAGAGAAACTGCAATGTTTACATTGCATCTCTAAATCTGCCATCAGTGGCTGTCCACCAGAGCGCTGCTTTGTATTCCTGGCACTATAGTATCCCTTTAACTCCTAAATGGCAGAGGATTGAGCAGTGAGACTACAGGGGCATGATCTATACACCAAAACTGATTCATTAAGCTAAAGTTGTTTTGGTGGCTATAGTGTCCCTATAACGGTGCAATGTAAACATGGAGATGAAGTTGAAGTGGTCTGGGTGAATTTGTTACCCACTTTCTCTTATTGTTTCCTATTCCTCTTTCAGAATTTGTTCTTCTTTTATTCATTAGTGACAGAGAATGTGGAGCTTGCCTAAAGCTCCTCCCTTTTGTCACAATTGTCAGGCATAGGAAAAATACCCTACTTTGTCTTCTATTTTAAAGAGAAATAGATTAAAGAAAAAAAATTAGGAAAAAGGTAAGTGAGGAAACGGAGCTTTTTTAATTTGCGCTTTAAACCTCTTAAGGACACATGATTTTTTTCCGTCATTCTGCCCTTTTTCTTTTGAAGCTGTGTCCTTAAGGTTAATGGAGAACCGACATTTAATACGATGTTTACCCCTAGTGCTACATTTGTGAGGTGTGAAATAAATTAAAATGTGGAAACTCACACCTCTTCTCCCTGCAGCTGGGGTGCCTCCATCTTGGCTGCTTGTCAGTCATCGTGATGAGCTCTGTCCTTTGCACCTGGAAGCCACTATAGAACTCCTACAAGGAAGAGGAGAAATGATACAATGTTTCTTTGTCTTCTCCACATTTGCAATGTGTGCCAGTGCTGTGCCTGAACTGGATTATATAGTAATTTTACTAAGTGTTAAATATTTGAAAATTAATAAAGAGCATCACATTAAAAGGAAAAAAAATACACAAATTGTAGCTGATTTAATGTTTAATTCAGGAGTGTAATTTGCAGATAAAAAAAGGGACATTTCCCCTTTAATTACTCCAATGTGAACATTAAACAGAGTTTAATGCTTAAAATATAGTTCTTAATTTCTGGCTTCTCTGCGGCACAGTAATTATGATGCCACTAGTGTACAATACTAAATTGATATTTCCAATATAAGCTTGATTTTATTCTCTACAGCTTGTTGTGTTTCCAAGGCAGGAGGGATCGTGCTGTGTTTGTATTGGGATGATTATGGTAAAAATTAATCTCTTGCCTTCTCCCATTCTCAGAGATAAGTGTTTACTGCATCAACTGTCCTTATAATCGTCCGCTGCACCTTCCCCTCTTAAAGGGTTAACAGTCACTTCTCGGCAAAGAACACCACTAAATCACACTAGACTGTAAGCTCATCTGAGCAGGGTCTTCATCTATCTATTGTTCCTGTACCATTTTGTAATTGTCCCTTTTCTTGGTAATTTCCCCATTCCTTAATATTGTAAAGCACTGACGAATAAATTGGTGCTATATAAATACCAATAATATGATCATAAGTCACCTGTAACCTTCTTTTAATGTGATGATCTGTTTATTGAACACTGGGCAGGCTATTTATACAGTACATGGTGTCAAAGATGGTACAAACCACTACAATTATGCAGGCCACCTGGTAGAAGACCAGGGCAAATACCCACCCCTGTGCCAGGAAGTTTGGGCTATGCAGAGCAAATGGCTGAGGGAGGTGGGAGCCAGATCCATTGTGTAACATCAAGGAACCTTCCAATAGCTTTTCCCCTACACTGCCTGCCCTCCTGGTAGGAGAATCCTGAGACGGGAGATATTTTAAACAGTAAAGCAGATTATAGTCTCTATCCCACCACTCCAAATACAATACCACTTTGGAAAATGCACTCTGCCCTTTTAATTCACAGCTGTCACAGTTCTCAACAGCCTTATCACTTTACATAGAATTAAGGACTAACCCTGAATGTCCTAATTTCTAGTTAATGTTTTTATGGGTTAACCCTCTATGTTCACATAAATACTTCTGCTGATATAAATATATGCATATTCTATCCACCGACTGTTTAAGAAGCGTGTTCCATATCTATTGATGGCCCTTGCATTAAAGGTGTAGATGTGTACATACAGGTTTTCTAGCAGATGTAGTATTGCAAACCACAATTTTTGGAATCTTTCACGGCCGCTGTCTTTAAAGAGAGTTGTTATCCTAATGTCCTTGTAGAGATGATGCGCTTCGTGAATGAAATGAAGACCTCAACCTCAATTTGTAACAGCTGCTGTTTCTGGCGTTCTAACGTGTAAATACATGGTTCAGTGATATTTCTCAGCAACTTGTGCTTATGATACAGGCTTTCCGAATTTATCTCTCGTACGTAATGCAGGGGGGAATGAACAACCTGTGAATTTCTTGCATTCTTGTTTATCAACCAGTGTTTCAGGTCAGTCATTGCAAATATGGACTTGTTTTTTATATAACCATTGTACAAATGAATTTTATTTTGTTAAGCAAATTGGTACGTGATAATCTACTGTGCTGGTTAAGTGCATGTTTAGATAGTTGCAATTATTTCTGCAAATGGCTTGAATTGTTATATTTTCTCTTCTTGTGATAGTACAAATATATGGTTTTTAACCCCTTAAGGACATGACGTGTGTGACATGTCATGATTCCCTTTTATTTCAGAAGTTTGGTCCTTAAGGGGTTAAATAATTAGGAAAGGCTCAATCACTTGTGTGTTAACTGAAAACAAATGTGTGTGTGTGTACTACACTAACGTTTATAAGCAATGCTTGATCCTTAATTTCTGGTTGTGAATACTTTCCTGTTACGCTGTCTTTAACTTTGTGGTGTATATCAATTTCCCATATCACTGGTACCAGCTAACACATGTCTGACATCTTTGGGAATTCGCTTTTGTTGAAGGTACTTTTTTAGTTTCAGATATCACTGGGTAAGCTAATTGTTTACCAGGTGTCCATGTCAAGTGTGAGCGCAGTAGTGGTCATTGTGCCAGGTACTCCTCATCCCTTCCCAAATATTTAGAGAGCTTCCGGATCTATGTAGGCAATAGTGGACATGGAGACTGTTGGACCCCAGGTAAGAAGTCAAGCTTCTGCACGTGGATTATTCTAAATACCATGAGTTTTCTTAGTTTGTGTGGGGTTTAAAAACAAACATTAGAAACCTCTACAAGGGTCCGTCTGCTATCGATAGTGAACCATGTGTGTATCTGACTTGATCACATTTACTGTTGCATTCCCAAAGATTGATAGAGGGATGCACAGCGGCACACAAACTGTCTCCCGGGAACGATGAAATGGCCTGTATTTACACAGCTTTACTGCAGCGCTGATCAGGAGTGAGCGTTGATGTAAAATAATTGCTGTAATCAAAAAGCCACAGGTTTCATTTCTTTGATTAGAAGCCAAGACGGTGAAATGAGCCAGTGTAAGCTGTGTTTCAATTTACTTCCTGAGAATCCACTTGTCAGCTGACGATTCAGAGAATCTGACAACCGCTCTAAAATTAGACTTGGCAGAAAACGGGTGTCTTGGTAAAATCTTACAAATACCAAAAATACAATGTTTATTTCATTTTACAGACACTGTACTTGTTAATAAACACTATTTAAATTCATGTGAAGCACATGAAAGCTTCTAATTATGTTTTTAATTTATTTATTTCAATGAAGTATAAAGAAAAGCTGTGTGAAACTGGTATGCCATAGAACTAATTGGGAAATTGCATATTATAGATCATCCTAGCTGAACTGGCACAATTATTTCAGCTTTGCCATTTCTGACAAAATATTGTAATAGCCTTCTCAATTCTTCACAGTATTCTGGTTTGTTTTAGTGAATAAAACATTTCTCACAGTTCCAGATACTTTACAGCTTCGAGCCATCATATAACCTCTTCCTCCCCAAAAATAATCAGTTGGACACAAGCCAAATTTATTTTAATCCTCAAATCAGAGTACAAGTGAGCTAATGTTAGCCTCCATTTATTTTTCTACTGCTTTGAATTGACTCCTATAAAACCTAGTGGCTATTGCCTGGCAGTCGCTGCTTTAAATAAAAGATGAATTTGCTTCAAACTGGGTTTGTTTTTTTTTGCCTATTGGATCAACAGCAAAAAGCAAATGTGAGGAAGGCTGAACTTGATGGACGCAAGTCTCTTTTTAGCTATGTAACTATGTAATTTCAGTGCTGGACACTCTATGTATTTTAACCCCATTGAAGTTCAGTTATGGAATATTGGTTTGGCAGATACAAGACATGTTCAGACCTTGACTCCAGTGGTGGCTGGATACTTGGGGAGCTCAGAGCCTGTCCAGCAAATGATTCTTGGACATCTCAGTGAAAAGGCAATTATTTGTGATTTAACCATATAAAAATATGGGATTTTTATATACAGGTCACTAACCTGTATATGAAAATAACTACCGTATATACTCTAGTATAAGTCGACCCGAATATAAGTCGCAACCCCTAATTTTACCCTAAAAAACTGGGAAAACTTATTGACTCGAGTATAAGACTAGGGTGGGAAATGCAGCAGCTACTGGTAAATTTCTAAATAAAATTAGATCTCCAAAAAATGATATTAATTGAATATTTATTTACAGTGTGTGTATATAATGAATGCAGTGTTTGAATGAATGCAGTGTGTGTGTGTGAATGAATGCAGTGTGTGTGTGTGAATGAATGCAGTGTGTGTGTGAATGAATGCAGTGTGTGTGTGAATGAATGCAGTGTGTGTGTGAATGAATGCAGTGTGTGTGTGTGTGTGAATGAATGCAGTGTGTGTATGAGTGCAGAACCTTGGTGGGGGGTGGGCATTTTTATTATTTTTTTTATATTATTATTTTAATATTTTTTTTTTTAATATTATTAATATTTTTATGTTATTTTGTATTTAATTTTTTTTTTCGTCCCCCCCCTCCCTGCTTAATACCTGGCCAGGGAGGAGGGCTCTCATTCCAAGGTGGTCCAGTGGTGTGCACTGTGTAGGAGGGGGCTGGCAGGAAGCGTTTACGTACCTCTCCTGCAGCTCCTGTCAGCTCCCTTCTCTCTCCTCCGGTCCGGTCAGCTCCACTGTAAGTCTCGCGATGTGACTGCCGCGCGGAGCATTGCCACGGCTCTGACCCCGCGGCTCTCGCGAGACTTACAGTGGAGCTGACTGGACCGGAGGAGAGAGAAGGGAGCTGACAGGAGCTGCAGGAAAAGTAAGTAAACGCTTCCTGCCAGGCCCCAACAGGACTGCCGAGCTTGTAATGAGCCCGACGGTCCTTGTCTGTATTATGGCAATGTAAGTTGTCATAATACAGACACTCACTCAAGTATAAGACGAGTGGGGGTTTTTCAGCACAAAAAATGTCTTATACTAGAGTATATATGGTACTTTAAATATTTGAACTATGCTAATGTTTAAACCTTTCTGGTTTCATTTATATGTTTATTGATTTTAGTTTAGTTTTTTTTCCCCCAGGTACTGGTGTAGGCAATGTCCCCCTTATTTAGTGTTTCCATTTTTTTTAAAAATTTTTTGGTACAGGAACTTGTGCGTGCTATTCAGCAAACCATGATTCAACTTCTAAAATGAGGACAGTGACCCATCTGTAATATACAAATCCACATTCCATTAAATTGGGTAATGGCAACGACCCCTGCATGTTGGGCTAAGGTAACATCCCCAGGGCGTACTTGAAAACCAGAGTAATCTGAATGTACCTTTCCTGATTAAATACTTTAATATTATTATTCTGCAAAATCCCAATCGTTTTGACTCTCCCAGTTACAGAGCTCCCCATCTGACACAGGACCCTAATCAAGTAATGTTTAGTGTTCCAAAGTTTGGACACTGACTTAGATGGCACAAGGACACAATTTTGAGTTTGGACCTTGGGGTTAAAAATTATTTTTTCTAATACAATGTGAATCATAAACGATTGATCTTAACAAATTATTGATTGAATATTGTGGTTTTCAAAGAAACCTTCTGCACTTTTAATTCTGAGAAGATACTTTTACATTTACACTATCCCTTCCAGTCTTCTAGTATAGCTAACAGAGAAAACCCAATCCTGGACCGCTCTTCTCTTGGGTATCAAATTAAAATGTATTTGTTTTCTAAGAAGTGACACTTTTGGCTGTTATGACCATTGTCCATTAATGATATAAATAAATGTCAATATAAATTTATTTGTGTATGCATTTTGGATACACATATTGAAAGTTAAGTTGTTTCCAGCCACTATGCTCTCTGTCTACCTGTTAACCTGTGGGAGGCTTCACCGTGGGCCTGTGGAATTCAGACTGCGGGCTGTGCTGGGGGAGAGTGGGGGGCTGTTCACCACTCCCTTCTGGCTTCCACTTGGTGTTGACAACAGAGCAGCTGTATAGGCGAGGAATGGGGGCAGTCTGTATCATCAAGTAAGTGGCCTCAGCCGTCCCTGATCTGCAATGTGATCCTGTCCCACTCAAACAGCAGTGTGTTTCAGGGCCCCAGAGGTTATCATGGTACCAGTAATAGCCCTTTAATTATGGCCCTGAGACCAGTAGAGACATCACCAGTCTAAGAAGGGAGAGGCTTTCCCACATTTTTTTTTACATCTTAAAACGGAAGTCTTTTGAAAAATCAGTCCGTGAATGTATAAGAACTTGTATGTATCTCAAGAGTGGCAGGTTTACGACGACGCCTGTTTCCATTCAGACAGATTTGCATTTGTGCAAAATGGAATCTAACCGTATGTGGCTGGCAGAGCATAAAAAGGTTGATTTTTGCTGTTGTTTTTTTTTTTTTTTTTAGGGATGGCTGGTTCCCGTTATTGGTATTTGTTTTGTTTACCTATATTTATCCTTATAGTTATAGAAACAAAAGTTTTACATGCTAATTAAAATGAACAAATTAAAGTAAGAAGTACTTACACTAGAACATCTATCCGTGTTAACAAAAATACGTAAATAACATTTTCTGTAAAGAAATAATGCTGACTCAATCTATAGATGAGATACAGTTTAGTGTTTCCTCATATCTACAGGAGTCAAACATTCTTTGCATTAGAACATGCCCAACTGTCTGATTACTCTCCAGCTCTGTAGAACTACAAATGCCATGATGCTCGATCATTAACTTTGGCACCCCAGGTATATGCTCCCTGATTCCCCTGATCCGCAGTCTTCCTGCAGGTTGGCTGAGTTATAGAAACGTTGATTTTTCTGTATATAAATTCTCAACTAATGTCTATACAGGGCTATATTAATAACCGATTGGGGAGGGAGCATTCATTTAAAAAAAATAAAAAAAAAATCTGCATATTTGCTAGAAATTATGCAAGTACATTGTATAGACTGCATGTGGCCTTTTAAAAGGACCACCCTGAGGGTGCCCCCACCCTCAGGGACCCCCTCCCGCCCGGCTCTGGGGAGAGGAAAGGGGTTAAACTTACCTTTTTTCCAGCGCCGGGCGGGGAGCTCTCCTCCTCCTCTTCGGCTGAATGCACATGCGCGGCAAGAGCTGCGCGCGCATTCAGCCGGTCTCATAGGAAAGCATTCATAAAGCTTTCCTATGGACGCTTGCGTGTTCTCACTGTGATTTTCACAGTGAGAATCACGCAAGCGCCTCTAGCGGCTGTCAATGAGACAGCCACTAGAGGCTTTGAGGGCTGGATTAAACCATTTATTCTTTGAAACTATGTTTATTAAAAAATGGGTTAATCCTAGAGGGACCTGGCACCCAGACCACCTCATTAAGCTGAAGTGGTCTGGGTGCCTAGAGTGGTCCTTTAATGTGAGCATATCTTCTAAAAAGTGTGTAAATCATGAGCGATACACTTTTTTTAAACTACAGGAATTTTACCCAGACATCTAGCCCAAGTCTATTATGTTAAGAAGCCATGAATACATTATTGAGGCATCAAATAAAAAGGAATCTGGTACATGCTGGCAAATACATTGTAAACAAATGTAATAGGTATACAATAATAAAATATTTTAAGAGGTGTATTTTTTTTTTTTCTATTCCTATTCTACTTGATAACATTTTTAATAAATGTTTATATTACTAGAAAGTAACTAAAGTTTTATTATTGCTTGTCTGATGCATCGCTTGGATTTTTTATCAATACTTGTATTTTCCAATACAGTGAGGGCTTCTTGCTCTTTTGAAAGGCAGTTTAAAATAGCCTTTTTTTTTCTTTCTGTAAGCCATCATTTGAAACCCATGACGATGGAGGAATTTTTTATTTAATTTTTTAAGATTTCTTCCAACGGGCCCCCGGATCTATCTCCACAATGAAATCCATCCTAGTTTGTGAACCAAATCAATAAATCCTTAGCAACAGGACCAGTCTTTCTGTAGTTTCCCCTGTGTAATAATCCTTTCACTTGTCAGTAAGAGGATTAAACTAAATTAAAAAGAAATTACTGCTCAGTGTGATACTTTAAAGCAAATTGTCCGGTCTTGGGATCCTCTTCGCATTGCTTCTCTGACGTAAAACCTGGCTCCAGCCTCACACTATGGTGATTGCACTTGGCAGTGTGCTTTTATGTCAGATATCGTCATGCGCATGTGCAAAACAAAGTGGGATACATATTAAACAAGCAGGATGCATGTACATATTGTTCAAATAATGATCAAATAATTGTTTTGGTTCTTAAAGACAGCTGTCACATTAAAACAATTTTTAATCCTTTTATCAAATAATTAAATGGAATAGATCTAAAAAACTAAAGTATATGACAAGATCCTTCAGCCATATACATACATCTTGGGTGAAACAATGTTTGAAAACTAACAGTTTCTATAGTCCTCCCTGCTTCTGTGCATAGAGACTAATTCTGTTTCCAAACACTGTATGACACAAGGTAGATAACTGAAGGATTTGGTCATACACTAAGAATAGGAATGAATTTTTCCTATTTTTACAATGTGTGTGTGTGTATATATATATATAATTACTTAAAGGAACAATATAGTTGGGAATGCAAACATGTCTGTGACCCCCATGTCTATGCAGTGAACGGATCTCCAGCATCAGATTTTTTCCCATAGGAAAGCATTGTATAATGCTTTCCTATGGGGGTGTCTAATGCGCGCGTGGCCATTGCCACGCATACGCATTAGATCTCTCCCGCCGGCTGACATCGGTGGGAGAGGAGCATCGGCGGAGCATGACCCAGCACCGAGGGACATCGGCGCTGAATTCAGGTAAGTGGCTGGAGGGGTTTTAACCAGTTCAGCCCCATGGGAGGGGGCCCCAAGGGAAGGGGGGACCTATTAACCCTATAGTGCCAGGAAAACATCTTTGTTATCCTGGCACTATAGGATCCTGTGAGAAAACCCACCGGGGGTTTTCTCTGAGCATTCATCTGTTTAGTTTATTCGGTTAGTTTATGCCACATTGGTTAGTTAGATTGAAACTACCGAACACAGACCACCCTCCTGGCTCATTGACTTCGAAGAAGCCCGTCAATTAAGCGCTCTCTCAGGGTGGCTGCCATTCGTATATACGAATGCCACGTGGCGGAGAAAACGACGGCCATCTTGTTTGTTCGGGACAAAGGCAGCGGGACTTGGTCATCGAGTGTCTGGAACTAAAATCAGACACTCGACTTCCCGAACACCGGTCTCAAGCATACGAACGATGGAACTGTATTTCCCGAACAGCTACGAGAGCGCTTTTCGGTACTTTGATGTATTTGTATGAGGGGAACAATCGCTCCTATGAGCCAGGAGGCTCTGTTCGTGGATTATGGAGTTATTTGACATTTTCAGAATTGACCGACCGCACACTCTGAATTCGTGGAACTATTTTGGGCAAGAGCTTTGTGTGTGTTTTTGTGTGTGAAGGGTGCATAGGGTCTGTGCTGTGTGTAGGTGTGAAAATCTATCTTAATGTCTCCCACTCCCTTCTTCTTACCTTTTACCAGGGAGGGGGGCATAATACTGCAAGCTCTGATAATCCAGTGGTGACATGTTCACTTTATCCTTCATCTCCTCCAGCTGAAGGCGGATTTTCCTGTCTTCCTGCGAGCACACCACTGTATTGGATCATGGTAACAGGCGGCAGCACTCCGACCAGCCTGCTCGCGGGAGGAGCACAGAGCCTCCTAGGCCCTTCCTTTGAAGTGCCAGCGGGACGGTGATGGAGATCTTTGATTAATCACCAGCCCGAGAGGGCTTACAGCAAGGCTGGCTCTGCGTGGGCCGTCAGGGGAGATGAAAGGATCTTCCCTGCTGGCCTTGGTCCACGGCCAATGGACGCTTTCTGCAGAACCCACCACCGCCCACCTGAAATTCCAAATTGCCCAGTAGTGGGTGGTAGAGACCAGGTTGACTACCCATGGTCTAGACCAGGGGTAGGCAACCTATGGCACTAGTGCCATGCACGGCACTCAAGGTGTCTTTGCACGGCACTCAAGGCTGCTAGAGCAAAACAGGCACTGGCCTATCAGGAGTCCCAGTGAAACTTCAGATATCTGCTAATACGAAAAGATGGTTGAGGACAATCCTCAATTTATGCATTGCAGCACATACAGCAAGTGATCTCAGATAACTTCCTCCCAGCACTTGTGAATTGGAATCTACACAGTAGTAGAGCAGCTTGCGGCTGTACCTGGCCAGCCTTGTCCCCACTGGAACCCAGGGCCACCCACACTGCTAGATATACACGGAGCTGCAGAATAACCCTCCTCTCATACAAATAATATAAACAGTCTGCACAAACACAACACCACCAACAATCCACATACATGCACACAACCCCACATGCAGCCTCTCACATGCAATACCCCAAACAGCCCCCACACATACACACACTACCAAACACACAATGTGACATATCCATCCACACACACAATTCCACAAGCAGTCCCCATACACATTCATATGTATCATACACGATACCACAAACTACTCCTGAACATATACAATATAATAGCTCATATACATACAAATACAACAATAAAAAGCAAATGCAGTATAAATAACACAAGCAGAATACGGCAGCATACACACCTCAATTTAAAAAAAAAATAGGACTGGCACGCTACGGGACATCACAATCCTATATCGGCACAGTGCTGCTAAAAGGTTGCCTACCCCTGGTCTAGATAGTTACTATGAAGTTCCTATCATGTGTTGTTTTTTGTTTTGCTTTTTATTAATTAAGCATTTGATTTATCTGCTATGATGTGTTTTTTTTGAACATCTGACCTAAATTCTTTGCAGAATTAAAAAAGTTTCTTCAACATCTTTTCTGCAAAATACAGTTAATTCACATTATTTGTCAATGTTATGTAAAGAATTGAATGCTGCTCTGTTACAGTAACTACAGCTCATGCACTGTAGTGGCTGTGAATATTCATCTAGCATACCTAATAAAGCCAGTGTGTCTCCTTTGAGGTTTTTAGGTTTGGTATTTCATTTTTAAAACATATAGAGCGTCTCTAACCCTGATGTTTCTGTTACATATTTTTCTGCTGGTTTTTACCGTAAGTAGTGAAGTTCCATTACATTCACAAGTGAGGATTATACAGCTCAAGCAAATTTATCAGAACTGAATTATAGCTCTGGAAAGTGTAAGTGTATCTGTTCTCAAATATCTAAACTTGTTTAAACTACATCTTTGGATCTCTCTCTGCTGGGATTCCTTCTACAGGTGATCCCATCATTCGCAAGGAAGAGAGACTCCTGGTTTGGTTGTATTGCTGCCTATACCTTTGCATCCAAAGAACTTTACAAGTGTTTAATCAAGGCATCTTGTCTACTGCACTAATACGGCTAATAATAAATATATATATATAATTATACTAGGTCTTATGCTATGTTCCTGTTGTCAGGGTCTGCATCCTCTTGTAAGATGTATTTGCCTTCCCCGATGAGTTTGCTGTTATAAGCAGATTGTAGCATTATAGGGATAACTCTCCTGGAGATTTGCCTTGGCAGAAAAACTCAAACCACATGTTCTAATTGAAAACTCTCTGCCCCGAAATGATTGCCATTCATACATTGCTTGTTACATAGTAACAATGATGGACTGTCCTGATCTGTGCAGTTCCTTCTAAGGAAATCCCTTGCTCTCTCCTTACGTTTCTCCCTCCATCATGTTCGATGTAGCAGACTATAATGTTTCAGGATGTCCTCGTTCTCTTTAGTCCCTGTGTGGTTTTGTCTCTTCTTGGTGGGCCAGTGACTGTGCTTGACTTTTTTTTTTAAATTTGATATTTGTTTTTTTTTTTGCTTTGCTTGCATGCTAAATCCTACACTCTTGCTCAGTCTAATACCCTGTAGAATGTAAGCTCATTTGAGCAGGGTCCTCTTCAACCTATCGTTTCTGTAAGTTTTCTTGTAATTGGCCTATTTATAGCTAAATCCCCCCTCTCATAATATTGTAAAGCGCTACGGAATCTGTTGTCGCTATATAAATGGCAACAATAATAATACCAGTATATTCATTTACAGTTCTCAAACCATATGACTGGTAATTCACTCTCTCTTGCAGAGCTATAGATACCAGGAAATGTTTTGTGTACAGTTGTATAACAGGCACAGAACAAGAAATCAAGGTCTGAGTTTTCTGTATAAAGGATTTACTATTTTTGCACAGCAATGCATTGCCAGATATAGATTTTGCTTTGAAGCTGTTGGGATAGCATTGGCCTTCCCTGTTAGATCTTTGTTGTTAAGGTATTTATTGCTTAAGTATATTTTTCAGTTCTGTGGTGTGTTTATGATTTCTAAATCTTGAAAAACAAAATTCTAGTTTTTAAAACTGCATTATTGGTCTTAATCTCATAGAAATGGCTGCACTCTAGGCTGGGGCATAATCAGAATGAGGTAACTGATTCAATGATATTTTGTGCATTTTACCTACATGCAGATAAGTTTCACTGATAGAATGTCGTAGTGGGTGTTGTTGGGTGAAAGGTTGTGTAGAAAGAAGGGGTGGGGCGGAGTTGTTGTTTTTTTTTCTCAAAATATTCCTTGTGACAAAATCCCTATTTTGCTTTCTCCAGAATCATTCTCCTCCTCCGTTTGGACATTACGTTATTATTTTATTCCCTATTTATTTTGACGAGACTAAGTACCGAACACTGACCCCCCCCGGCTCATTAAGTTCAAACAAACCACAGGAATTCAGAGCTCTCTTTGTGTGGCCGTAGTTCGTATAACCGAACAACACGTGGTGGAGAAAAGGCGTCCATCTTGTCGCACCAAAGCAGGCAGCTGGACTTAGTTGTCGAGTTCCTGATACTCTGAGGCTGCCACTCGATGGCCCAAACACCGGTGAAACCATACGAATGCCTGCTTCTGTTCGCGGCAAGCCAGGGAGTGCACTGTTCAACAGATTGTTCGACTGGATCTCCCGAACAAACACTGTCCTATGAGCCAGGAGAGCCGTTCTCCTTTATTTATTCACCTTTTTATTTTGCCTAAAAACCCTCGAACTAGGCAGACCTCTCCAGAGCAGTCGGTCAAATCTTCACCCCAGTAGCGATTCGACTATGTTCGTGGGATCTGAGCGCTGTTCGGATATGTTTTGCCCTCAGATCCAAGCTATCTGATGTGTAGACTATGGAGGTTCGGTTATACGAAATATAACTTTATGTATTATAAAGTTTTTTTGTGAGTTTTGTAAAAATGTTAATATTTTCTGTACCTGGATATAATTGAATTTAATACTTTACTTAACCCAATTATCTCTCAGGTATAGAGGAGGGACCCTCTGTCTTATGCAGGAGTGTCCTGGACCTGAGAGTCAATGTCATTGGGTGATTGTTTTGTACCATTGTCCCCACTCAGATCCAGAGAGGAGTGCCCCTTGCATCGGGACCTGCATAAAAGGCCATCTGTGGCTTCCATTAAACAGAATGCTTTACCCCTTCATGAAGTCTTGCCTCATGTTTGGGGGATTGGGAGTTATAATCACTACAACTTCTTCTATGGTTGGATTTCGGGAGATTCTTCACGGATGTACTCAGCTGCAGTATAGGGGATCCGTTACATTCCTAATGTGGTCTGATGGTGACATAGAAACATAGAAACATAGAATGTGACGGCAGATAAGAACCATTAGTTAATTCCTCTTCCCATCGCATTGTCTGTTAATTCCTCTTCCCATCGCATTGTCTGTCCATAGTATGTCTGATGTGCTGTTTTACAGTAATTCTGTCATTACATAATATTGAACATTTTCACACTTCAAACTCTCTGGCTTTGAACCTCAATTTCTCTTCTTCAGCTTCCATTATGTGAAACTATAAGCTCACAGGTCGTTTTGTTTAAACGTGCTACAGATACCAGATTATAAAATCAGAAGCAAAATCGCTAATCTTCCTGTGAGAGAGCTCTGTGGACAGGACTCCAGCTGCTGTATCTCAGTGACATGTTGGATTCCCCAGCATGGTTAACCTTTCATCTTGGGTACGAAGAACATCAAGACATACTGGGAAACTACGTAAAAGCTAAACCAAGCTTTCTTGGTTTAAATTACTTGAATCTTTTTATTTTTTATTTTCAATCAATGGATATTCGCTAATCTTTGTAAAGGGCTAGAAAAATGTTGTGCGTATTAGAATGAATTTGTGGAATGAAGAAGTGGTAAAGAATTTGGATTTTGTTCTGCAGAGCCATTGTTGATTTCTGTAATGTCTGGGGTTAGTCTATTTATTTAACCCCTTTTCTGCAAAATGAACACCCCCCTTCAGCACGAGATGGCAACTTGATGCATGCTGCCGTTACACACAGTGAACCACTGGCAATTTCTCACTGCTGTTATGCGAGGTGAGGGGGGACTACGAACATACCTCCTCTACTCCCCATAGAGCCCCTGTTTAAAAGGAGCAACTCTGCCAAAAAGCAGCAACAGCAGTTAAAGAGAATTTTAATTTTAGATCCCTAGCTCTTTTATTTTGTATCTGTGAGGGGCAACGTGCCTTTGATTTGAAAGCACAGAATACGCCCTTGCAAATAAAGGGTCTCTTGCTCTTGCCCCCGATCCCCTTCACTTCACTCTCGAACACATGCATTTAATCATAATTACAAATTATACTTCTTAATTTTTAGAGTGTGATATGGACTTTACAGTGCCCCTATTTCTTCCTTTGTTTACCTTAGAGGGGTATGAGACTCTCTACATTTGAAAGAATGGAATTCTCGCTTTTCAATAAAGACGTATGAGCTTGGTAATAGTGAGCATCTGTCCAAAGGAGAGAGACAGATCTTTAATATATTAGAATGTGATTTGGAGCCCCTATCTCATCAAGATGGCATACTGCGCATGTACACTACACCCCCATATGAAAGCAGGTATTATTTTTCTTTCAAATTAAGGTCTCATCTAGGTTGCATATGATTGTAGCTAACAAATATATGCATGTCACTAAGCACGAATCACTTGGTTACAACTTAGTTTCTATATGCATTTTATTACTGTAAAGGTTTTAAATAGAAACCGAATTCCTGACACAGCAATAAAACCTATACATGTCTGTGCAGTGCGTAGGCTGATACATGGTCTGAGATTTTGCTGTGGACTTTTATCAGTATTAGTAATTTCTTGAGTTCTACAATAGTGTTTCACAGCCTTTTTTTTTTTTTTCTGTGTGGCTTATTCATCCACCAACCCCTGCCATCAATCTTTTCATTAACAAGTAATCCCTAACCCATAAAGTGATAATTGCTACATGTCTGTACACAGTGGTGGAGGGGATCAAGTGTAAAATAAGCAATGATCTCTGGAGTACACGGTTTATTTCTGCGCAGTAAATTACTTCATTTCTTGTGTAGTATATCTCCTAATGGCAAATACCACCACATTCTAAAACTAGAACGCCCTTTAAGATGTACCCCATGGAGTGTAAGACATACACCTGGAGGAAGTGTGGCAGCTAAGACTGCCTTCAACTTATACATTCAAATCCTTTTTTTTTATTTTTTTATCTTAAGTATTTGTATTTTTTGTTTCAAACATTTTACTAGATAAAGCATTTGTATATTTGAATTTTTAACACAATATATAATCTGTTGTTTTGTGGAATTGGCACTTGGCCTTAAATGTTTTTGTAGCATAGATCTGTAACATAAAAAAAAAAAAAATGAAGGTGTCTAAAGAATTTCTGAATGCACATTCAGTTACCTGATCCTTCCCTCTTGTGTGTGTCTTGTGGCGTTTTTGGAATTGTTTCGAGATATAAGAAATTAGTCTGTTGCCTACTAGGGGATTTAATCAGTGAGACGGGATATATGTTGAACTGTCACCCTAGGCCTAAATTACATTTATTTCAAGACACAAGTCAGTACTGACTAGCCCCATGTAGTTTGGGACTCCTTGTGGATCTGTCACATATACAGCTTCGATCAACCAAAAAATAATTATCAGGACCTCTCCCCAGATGTGTGCATTCTATCTTTTATTCAGGATTTCTTTTTATTTTATTTTTTTACTTATCTGCAGAATAAATTACTGTGAGGAAAAAAAATGGAAAAATATATTGTTTCCACGTCCAATTTATCCTGGTGTGTAGCCCCACCGTTTTGTTACATGTCAATACAGACGAAGTCAACATTTATAAGGGCAGTCTGTGCGGGAATTGACTTCCATTTTTTTATTACTAATACAGTCTGTAGAACTAGTTCAAAGCAGAGGCTGTTTGTGTTAACAAAAAAGCTTTGCTTGATTTTTAGAGTCCAAACAATAGAATTAAGGTGTTTTTTGTTACGAAAATACTTCTGTAAATTTCCTGACTATCACAGTCGTAGTCCAAGTATATAGATCATTAAAAGAACACTATACTGTATTGGAATACCAACATATTCTCAATACTAGTGAGTAGTGTTCTGCAAACTATTTAGGTGACTCTCCCCTGCCCCTCCTCTGTGCGCATTGAAAAATAGATTTTATTTCCTTTTCCTTTTTAAATCACTCTGTCTTGCTTCTTGTAAATCTTGTGTACTGTTGAAGAGGGATTAAATAGCCTCTCTCATGCCGATAACAATGATAATTAGACTCTTAATTGGGGAATTATTGGATCTCCTGAACCACAAAGACTTAATGAAAGCTTTCCTCAAAACAATGTCTCATTATTGCACAAAATGTGCAGACTTGGTTTAGCTTTATTTAGTCTTGATCAGAGACTTTGTCATTAAACTGACACGGACACTTTGTGTTTAACGTGTTATCTGTTGCTGCCGGTAGCCCTTATATCTTCCTGTGAAGCATTTTTCTTGGATCGTGATTGCTGGAATAACAGTGACTGGATAGAAAATGAAAATCAATCTCCATCACCCTGATGGGAACTCCAGATATGCTGACTTCAAATTACACGTTTGAGTAGATGTCAGGCTATATGTGGTGTTGAGCAGTGCTGTACAGAATAGCCATGTTTGTGTTATTCTACTTTGTTAGCAATGTATCGGTGTATGGCTAAATGTGAGATACCTCTGTAAGAGTACCTTTTTAATCAATTGTTACTGGATGCAAGTGTATTGATCATGGTTGATTATATTTCTTTCTTGTCCTGTGTTTAAGTGTTTGTGTATTTTAATATTATATTATACTGTACCCTATTGTAACAATGTGCCTTTCCGAGGAAACATTCTGTAGCTTTGTTACCGTGTGTCAGAAATTAACCTTCAAATGATATCTGTGATGACCTCTCACTTCAGTACTTGCAAATTGAACTGCTTCTTTATATGGGATATTCTGTCACTAGGTGTGTGCCAAGTTTATGGTTTTATACTCTCTCATATCACTTATACACTAAAAATAGAACAGCAGATAGATCTACAAACCAGGTGATTTAGTGTCAGATATTCAAGTCTGAAAATACAAGCATCAGCTAGCGAGATATTCATTTATTCCCTATATTCCGTTTTGTATGCTGGCGGCAGCCTTGTGTTTGCTACATCCTGTCTCCCGGGCCCCTAGTTCGCTAACATTGCCCTCTAGTCAATACATTGTCAGGAGTAGACATTTCTTCTACACTTTGCTCTGGTAGACTTGCTTGTGTATATATAGAATTCTTTACATTTCTTTTATATGACCTGTCAGTATTTCTCTTCATCCATGTCTAATCCGTCTGCATATAATAGGTTGGCAATGTGCTTGCTCAGTGTGCCCCCTGAGAGGAGTGTACATCTGTGTTTGGTTCCCCTGCTTTGGTTTGTGGCTGGAAAGTACCACACATGGCTTCATGCACAGACAGTAACGCTACCATTGCTCCATCGTTTTTGTTGGATGGTGTGTGTTGTTTATACTCTACAGAAAGGGTGCCCAAAAGGCAGACGCCCAGATGTTTTTGCACTACAATTTCAATGATGCTTTGCCTGCCTTTAGAATTACAAAGTATCATGGAAGGTGTAGTTCTACAACACCTGGGAATCTACCTTGTGGCCACCCCTGCTCTATGGCATTGCATGCGTTTACTGTGTTCAGCAGGTTAAATGCTTCATGGGCTATATTCATTTTCGAACAGGGAGGCCAGCAAATCAATTAGCATTTCCATATGCAGCAGAAGCACACATTTGCTGTTACTAGATGAGGTACACAAAGTTGTTTTAGATGTTTGTGTGTTGTTGTTTTTTTTCCAGGAGGCTTGTGGGGGAGGGCTGTTCTCTTTAATTTTCTTTTATTTTCAGTAAAATTTGCAGTGTCATTTTCTTAATCTTTTCCCGATGAGATAAGACCCGAAGGCAATCAAACACTACTTAGATGTAAGGGACCTGCAGACAGAGACACAATCTTTGCTTGTCCTGATCATTGCACTGCAATTGAAGTTACCACCTGACAAAATTGTGTCTACCAGACTCCCCACGAACGAGAAACCTCTGTTTGTTGGGCTATATGTTACATCCTTTTTGCTGTCCATACATTCCAGTTCATGAGTTCAAATAAATGCTTTTGGTATCTTTTTATAAATTTAAATAAATACTATATAACAGAATTATTCACCAAAGTGCGAATTCAAGGTGAATTTCAAATTTCGGGTCAAAATAGCCAAACTTGAAAAACTCTTAGTTATGCTTCCCATTCGCCTACTCTGGTCTTAAATTTTAAATTTGCTATGAATTCCAACTTCTCACTATAGTAAATAATTCTGTAAATGTGTCCCTGGTCTATAGTCTGCCTTTCTTGCTGGATGTATGTTTGTAAGGTGGTTTGAAGTTGTTCAAATAAACACCTTTTGCATGGCTTACGTGGCTCCCAGTCAACCTATTGAAAGTGCTTGTTTTTTATTCTCCCTGTCTGACTGCGTTAGAAATTCAACAGGTATCTTTTTGCCCGCAAACTTAATTAAATAAGTTTTAGTGTGTGCCTACTTGACGGAGTATTTCAGGCCATGTAACAATGTATCTTCTCACCGTTTGTATAACGAAAAGGATAAATACAGTGCCTAGTCAAAATCTGTAGTATTGGATAGCAAACTCAGAAAATGTTTTTTTATTTTTATATTTTTATTTTGTGTTTTCTCATATATTTTTTTTAAGGTGGGGAGAGGGGGAGAAGAAAACCAGAAAATATTTCAGACCTCTACATGCTTTGTGGTATCCTTGCGTGAGGATATGTTGCATTAAAAAATAGGTTTAGTAACTAGTTTACCTTATGAGGGAGTCATAGATGGAGTTATATATAAAGCCAGCGTAATAATATGTGTAATAGGCATGCTGACTAACTGGCTTGTCTGCGTTTAGAACCCTAACATTCTATCAGTCTGCTACTACTGAGAGCCTGTCTGTCCCTTCACTGCTCTACCGCCGGTGGGGAGAGGGTTTGTACATTATTATTATTTTACTAAAAATCAACCATTACACCATCTTCCATAGCTTACTGACAGGAAGTTCATGGTTAATGTCAGGATTATTCACTAAATGGCGCATTGCAAACGTTACGCCGATATAACGCACATGGAGAAATTCTAATGTTGCTGTTCTTCCTGGCATATGCAATCTCCTTTATAGCTTGTCTGCATTTCCTTTTTAACGAACAACCCAGAGCTCTCTAGCAGACTCTCTCCCTTATTTCGTGCTATGAGAATATATTTTAATAAAACTCTCACCGCTGGTGAAAAATGTATTTATTTTGCAGCCATTAGAATCTCTATTAATATAGAAAGTGTATTGCATAGGCTTTAGGGATAATATTCTATTTGTAGAAAGCCCCAGTGGCTGCTGTCATTTTTCAATGAAAGACCGAATGTGTAGCTGTGTTTATACAGCCGGTTGCAGTCTGCCCCCGGTGGCGAAAGATGATGCTGTTGCTGGGTAGACAGAATATTTATCAAACATATATTAGTCTAGTGCACATGCATGTTAGTTTTCCTGTCAATCGTTCCTTAAATTCTTATTGATCTATTAAAGTTTGGTGTCTGGATCACTTATGGTTCTAAACATATTTGTACCGGTATATTCATTTGCTGGAGTAAAACTCCTGTCATGCTCAGCAGACTGGCTCTCCGAGTGTGATCAAATCTGCTAGGTTCCGTGAAATATTTCTGTTAGGCATTTATTTGAAAATGGAAATTCAATGCCCCTTTTCCCCACTGGCAAAAATTTTTTTCCTCCTAACAAAAAGAGAAGGATGGGGAAGTAGCCTGGTACATTGTGCATCTCAAGATGTGTTTTTCTGTAATATATTCTTTAAATACATTGTAGAACAATAAAAAACATGTTCTCTTGGTTTAGAGGATTTCACTAACCATTGAAAACCGATGTCATTATAGGTTACATGTCTTGCCTGTGACCATAAGTCTAATACAATTGAGCCATTCTGGGACTTATCTCTGGAGTTTCCTGAAAGATATCATTGCAACTGCAAAGAGACAGCCTCCCAGCGACCTTGCTTGCTTACAGAAATGCTGGCCAAATTCACAGAAACAGAGGCCTTAGAAGGGAAGATCTATGCCTGCGATCAGTGCAACAGTGAGTAGATGCAGTATGTATTAACAGAAATGTTCTGTTTTCATAACATAGCTCTGTACCTCTTCATTCACATTCAGCTGCAGCAGCACACAATTCCCTGGATAGGACAGAATAAATTTAATTATCGAACCCTGACTTATACATTTCAAGTCCTTTTCAAGTTGGTACTAGCGTGGGTTACCTCAAATGCATGTGTTTGTGATGTATCCCAGAATGACTGCAACGAGCAAGTTACATCCCTTTCCACACTATTGTGTATTTAATGACTGTTAATGCAAAGGTTTCTTTTTGTGTGTGTGTGTGTGTGTGTGTGTCTCTATCAGAATGTGTGAATGAGTGTATTTAAGTGAATTCTCATTGTGGGAACTGTACGGCTGTGTTGACTGCATGTGTTGACTGTATGGTCGGCGTAATGTGGGAATGCAGTATTAGTGTGTATAAATGTAGGGTTAGGGTGTAAGTAGATATTGTGTGTGTGTTCACGCGTGTTTGTGTAAAGTAGTTGCAAGGAGCAGAGAGGAAATATATTCTGTAAGTTAAAGGAGCACTATAGGGTCAGGAACACAAACATGCATTCCTGACGCTATAGGGTTAAAACCACCATCTAGCCACCCCTCATGCCTCCCTAAAAATAGTAAAATCTTACTTGTATTCAAGCCTGAAGCTGCTGGCTTTGTCACTGTTGTTTTAGACCTGCCTGCTGACATCAGCAGAAGTGGTAGCATGATCCAATCACAATGCTTCCCCATAGGATTGGCTGAGACTGACAAGGAGGCAGATCAGGGGCAGAGCCAGCATGATTCAAACACAGCCCTGACCAATCAGCATCTCCTCAGAAAGATGAATTGAAATAATGAATCTCTATGAGGAAAGTTCAGTGTCTGCATGCAGAGGGAGGAGACACTGAATGTTTGGATGCATTTTAGGCAATCATGACCCAGGAAGGATCTCTAACAGCCATCTGAGGAGTGGCCTGTGAAGTTATCACTAGGCTGTAATGTAAACACTGCATTTTCTCTGAAAAGACAGTGTTTACAGCAAAAAGCTTGAAGGTAATGATTCTACTCACCAGAACAAATTCAATAAGCTGTAGTTGTTCTGGTGACTATAGTGTCACTTTAAGTGCTTCCACAACATGCATCCTCAAGTAAAACTTTTTTTTTAATGGGAAGGCTTAGATGGTTTATGAATAAATAGCTGATACATTTCAGTGTTACAGCTTGCTCCTTAATACCAGTGTGGAGAAGTCTACCAAGAGGCTCACACACAGTTATTTACTAAATGGCAGATTTTAGGGAATTAAATCAGAATGGTAAATTGAGGCCAAGATGACTAACTTGGAAAAATGTCTCCATTGGCTATAATTGCAGCACGGCTATTTTAGCCTCCGATTTGCAATGCGGACTTAATGTGTTAAGTCAGTGTTTAGTCAATGTCCTTGATTGGATCTCACTGTGTACCTTTCCTGATCCAGGGATTACTCATTAATTTACCTGCAATAAAACAGAACCCCTAGGTCAGCAGTTAAAGAGGGAATTGGTTACCAATAGGGAGAATGACATGGGGTGAATGTTTATGATGGCTGACCCAGTGAATTGGAAAGTGGCACTGACACAACAAGATGTCTGGATCTGTCGGTGGTGTTTGACTTTGTCCATGTCATGTTAGACTGGAGGATGTGCAGAACAGGCCAATATCTGATTGTGCTGCTGGTTTACAGGGTCAGTGCAGTCTAGCCCACACACATTAGAAGCCAGAAGGCTGTAACTCTGTAGTCTGGTGTTCTATTTACATGATGGCTGCCATGCTGGATCGCAGCCCAACCCACAGCGAAATCCGTCTCCTGTGAGCAGAAAGCGACACAGTTCAGAATTGACAGATTTATAGGGCAGACATCATTTGCCAGTCTTCCTCTCGCTTAGAAATTGTATCAAATCTGAACTGTTCTTTGAGGTTTATTAATTAAATAGTAAATTGTGTTAAATTACAGTTCATAATTTAATGAATAAAACTCTGCACATTATCCAATGAGGGGGGAAGGAGCTGTAAACCAGCACAGAATAGAGGGTTAAACTACGGGTGCTTTGATCTGCTGATTAACCCTCGCTATGCTGGGGAGTCGGGCAGCCCTCGTCACATTTCTTTGTGCTCTAGCAGACGATATTAAAGGTAATTTGTCGCTTCCCATGAATTTTAGCACTTATCCCGATCTTTAATAACTATTGTAAAGCGCTACGGAATTTGTTGGCGCTATCTCAATATAATTATAATAATAATGTACTAGTTCAAAGAGGTATGGATTTCTATGTTTCATTTTAATTTTTGCCTAACAGTTATTATTTAATTTTTTTTTCATTTGCACCGGACAGTCGGCATACAGTGTAGAAATTAAGCCATGTTTCTATTTTTCCTCCTCATTTGTACTCAGTACCCTGGATTTGCCTTCTCTCAACCAGATTGTGATGTAATTTATTTAATGTAAACTGAGCATCACATGAAATAAAGTTAATATAAGGAATATAGGTGAAGTTTAATGTTGTATTCAATGGTGTATGCCGTTTCCAAGAAATGACCCTCTTTAAACTTAAGTGTTTTGCATTCTGTGGAAAATAAGTGTAATCGAACACTTGGAATCTTAATAACTCCAACCATAAACTAATGTTAAAATGAGTGCAGTGTGTAATTCACGAACTGTAAGTAACAGGTGACATCTAGTGGTTCTGTCATGTAAACACATGTATTAATGGCTTAGTGTGCAGTAATTCCCAGATCTTGTCTCCGTAAACACAATTTACAATTACTTTAAAGATCTGGGCATTTCCCGTAAATGCACATATTTACAGGAACCGTGTTTGACAAATGTTTGCGTTTTGAGAAGCAAGACAAGAGCAGCTTAATCACAGACAACATAAATCTCATATTAAACAATTTTAGAAACTCTGACTTATGTGATTTTAAAGATTAAATTAAATAACTTGTTTAACCCCTTAACACCAGAGGCAATTGTCTAACGTGAATCAAAACAAATCCTAGAATTTGTACCCCCAATTAATATTTGTTTGTTTCTCTTTGAGTGCACATATATATATATATAATGTTTTTGTTTTTAAAATGAAATATACTTTTATCCTATATGTATATGTATAACTTACTAAACCTAAAGTACAAATAAAATGTTGAAAATGGAAAAACACTTTTCTGCATTTTTGCTTATAATTGGTGCACATCAAGTGCAGTTAAGAAAAAGAACTCTGCATAATTCCATGTAAGCCCTTATTGTTAAATGGCTTACATGTCTAGGATCTAAATACATTTTTGGCAGTTAACACTAACCCTACTACCAGATATCTATGCTAACACTAACTCTAACAGTACACCTACGCTAACCCTACACCCTAAAAGAGCATTAACCCTGACCTAGCATTGGCCCTTACTCTGCACTAACCCTACCCTAGAACGCTAACTCAGTGGGATTCCTTTTGCTGATATCAGCAGAGGGATTTCCCAGCTAGAACGCCGTGTACTGAGTGATTGCAGCATGAGCGTGAGATCAGCTGCAGCTCTGGCATATTGTCTCTCCCGGCAGGACACCCTGGGGATCTACCTCAGATTGTGGGGAAGTCTCAGAATCACCATGACTGAGTCCAAACGTTCCACCACCGGATTTTACGTTGATTTAAGTTCTGCATACAGCCTGTGACCGTAATAAGAGTCTAACTGACCGAGGGGAGCTCAAGGTATCGATTAATACCTGGGTTTCCATATTTGGAGCAGGGTTTGTTCCTTCTCACACCAGAACGTTAGAGCGTTTTTTATGCTGTCCTTATGGTGTTGAAGCCATTATTATTAGGATTCCATGGAATATCCTAAATATGTTTTACGGGTACAGGGCTCGGCCCAGCTAGATCTTAATTACACTTTGTGAACACCAGCAGGTGACTGAATAGTTAAATATAGTATTACGTGAGTATGAGTGAGTTCATGTCTATCTTGGCTTTCTGTTGTGGTTCATTATGATGCCTTCAGAACTCCTCTGTCATTGTTTTCATAATGTATTTATCCTCTGTTTTCATTACTCTGAGGCTAACCTGGCCTTCTGCAGATATTTAATTTTTTATCTATATCTAGGAGTTTAACATTCCACAGAGAACACTCATATTAACCCTCTCAGAGCCTGGAATCCAGTGCTTCTTTCTAAGATAATCTAATAAGCAGTTCTCTATGTTGTTCTTGATATGCTGCAGCCAAACGCAGGAAATTTTCATCAAAACCAGTTGTCCTTACAGAAGCCCAGAAGCAGCTAATGGTCTGTCGATTACCTCAGGTCCTGCGACTCCACTTGAAGAGGTTCAGGTAATACATTCATTGGCTCGTTACTCTGTGTGAAACTGTCAGTAAGTCTATGGTTTATGGGATTTGCTAGATTTCCCATGTGATATGGGGCATGCAATAAGGTCCTTCTCAACAGAAAGAAGAAACACCCGTAATACAACACGAGGCCCCACCACTGCCCTACTTGCTTTTTCCTCTACTCTGCTTATCAACATGTAGATCAGAGAAGTAGCTCGAGAGGGAGGGGGAATGCTCAGAGCATTGCATTGTGGGTGTTTCTACCTGCGCAAGCTGGGAGGTTCCCATAGGTCTTGCAATTTCCAGAATGAAATTAATTTGTCTTGTTAGAGGCAGATTGTGGTTTTAACAATATTCTTTTAGGGTTATAGTTGTTTGCAAGTGTAACCTGGATTCCTAATGCCGTAGTGTTTCTTTAATCCACTAAAACATTTAAAAATTAAACAACTTGTATTTATTTATTTATTACATAAATCTCCCAGACCAGAGAAGGTTCCAAGGGTCAGAATCTCTTTTCATGTGTACAGTGTCTGAATTTATCCCATAAACTCCTGCCAAGCATGGTTTATTGGATAGGTTATTTTAACCCCCAGCTGCTGTTCCACTCATGGTTTAGCACAAGTGGGACTTATTTACAAGCAGCTATCAGTTTATTCAAGCCTGGTTCACAGTTTTGTAAGATGGGCTGTGTGAAGTGATGATAAAAGCTCCTGCATTTTCATGCGCAACTTTGGATAATCTGAAGCTTGAAAGAGGTAAACCCCCCTTCCCCCATTGCAGTAGTTTTAAACCACATGGTGACCGGTTGAGGGTACTCTGTACACTATAATTTTTTGCAGTGGTACGCAGTTGTTATGGTTTTTGTGTGACACTTCACAACCCCTGGGATATGATTGATAATGTTTCAAGTCTCAACCGATGGATCTGGTAGCTAAAGCATGTTCTTATCAAGTTCAAACCATGCTATTTAACACATCAGTTTCCCTTTTCTTTCTTAGGTGGTCAGGTCGCAACCATCGCGAGAAGATTGGGGTCCATGTCCAGTTTGACCAGATGCTGAACATGGAGCCTTATTGTTGCAGAGAATCTACTTCAGCCCTGCGGGCTGAATGCTTTATTTATGACCTGTCTGCTGTAGTAATGCATCATGGGAAAGGATTTGGTTCTGGGCACTACACAGCTTTTTGCTACAACCCAGAAGGAGGTATAGTATACATATATTTGGTATTTTAAGCTCTTGTTTTAGATTTTGTGTGCTTTAATAATTTGTGAAATAAACGAGGGCATTAAACTATTTACATCCTGTCATTGACTTGATTCCGTTCAGAGTTATCCACTAAAGTGAGCATTCAAAGTCTCATCGAAGGCTAAAAAAGCCAAACTAGAACATCCATTTTAAGTAACGGAGCTACTTTGACCTTAAATTTAAAACTCACTTTGAATTCCCAACAATTTTCACTTTTGAGAATAACCCGGTAAGCTTTGTGCACCAACATTAATGCATTAAGAGACAAATCACCTTTAAGAGCCCTTCACCTTTTTTAAGAAGTGATCTGAATGCAGTCTTCTCTTTTGATAAAACTATTTTCACTACACCTTGAATTATTGAGGATTAACAAGGGAATCATCAATTTTAAAGGCACACTAAAGTGTTAAAACCATCACTTGGCCCTACCTTGCCAACCTAAATATAGTAAAATCTTACTTGTATTCAAGTCTGAAGCTGCTGCCTCTGCCTGCTGACTTCATCAGAAGTGGTGGTCTGATCCAATCGCAATGCTTCCCCATATGATTGGCTGAGAATGTCAATGAGGCAAATCAGGAGCAGAGCCAACACAAGTCAAACACAGCCCTGGCCAATCAGCATCTCCTCATAGAGATGAATTGAATCAATGCATATCTATGAGGAAAGTTCAGTGTCTGCATGCAGAGGGTGGAGACACTGGATGGCAGTACTGCTCACTGTGCAGCACTGCCCAGGAAAGCACCTCTAGCAGCCACCTGAGAAGTGGCCAGTGGAGGTATCACTAGGCTGTAATGTAAACACTTTCTCTGAAAAGACAGTGTTTACAGCAAAAAGCCTGAAGGTAATGATTCTACTCACCAGAACAAATTCAATAAGCTGTAGTTGTTCTGGTGACTATAGTGTCCCATTAAGCCAAAATGGGAAATAACAATTCCATCTTGGCTGTTTCCTTTCAGTTCTCAACAATTCTAGATTAGTGGAAACCTTTCCTATGATGTAAATCCAGAGACTGCTTCTGAGGAATATTCAATCTCGGTCATGTAGAGTTCTCAAGAACATGAAAGTATAGAACTGCTTGTAAATGTTGTAATTCAACTAAATGCCAAATTCATTTCATTTCTAGGTTTCTGGGTCCATTGCAATGACTCAAAGCTTCACACATGCACAGTGGAAGAGGTCTGCAAGGCACAAGCGTACATTTTATTCTATACCCAGCGAGTCACTCAGGAGAATGGACATTTGTCTAGTAGACTTTTAGACCATGTCACTCCTTCTGGCTCTCCACTGTCCACTCCATGCTGAGGGAATGATAACCCCAGGTAAATGAAAAGTAAAAGCGCAACTTCGTGTCTCGGAGTTCTGTCAGATCAGCCATCTTCTCTTGTACGTGTATATACCTTCTGTTACTTGTTTACGTAGAGAGAACAGAAGACGACCTGTGAGCATTCTACACTGCTGAGCTGTGTGATGGGGCTGCCATAGCTCACTCGATATCGCGCAGTGTTTATGGAGGATGAAATTAATTAACAGTACTTAAAGTAGCAGAATCAAAAGTTCTTGTAAGCTCCAAGATTGTAAGAAAATCTGTTGTTTAATGTACAATATGTTTATACTTTTTTGTATGGAATTAAGCACTCTGAAAAATAGAATAAAATGATTTTAACATTTTGTATATTGGAAATGGATAACTTAAACAAAACACGTTTGACATACATATTCGTTTAATCTCCCTGCGTGATTTCTTTCTTTTTATTATTTTTTTTGCTCAGGTAGATTTTTGTATTTGTGATATATTTACATTTTCTGGATTTTGGTTTTATAGTTTTTCCCCTTTTTGTTTTCATTGTTTATCTGTGAACCTGTGTTTCTGTCAGTGGTGTTTCATGTTTTTACCGGGCTTCTTCAATAAGTAGTGGTTGGAGATGTAGTGTTACAATTGGCAAAATGTGTATGAGTAATTCGCACAGTGAATTATATGTGATATCCATATAGAATATACTTCTAGATGTCTCGTAAAATTTATTGGAATGCAGGTTTCATTATAAGACCACAAAAAGAGCGGTAGAACTTGCAAGAGTATAAAAACAGCATGTGTAGAAGCCTAACACCCCTCCAGACACACAAAAAACTGGGAAAATAATGAAAAATACTTCCTTTGTTGGCTCCAAACAAGTCTAATATTGCTCTCTAGATCCCAAACCAAAAATTCAGATAACAAGTGTGGGATATATAATGTGTGATCAAGACTACGTCTTGTGTTTTCTTCATGTAAAGTGGTTTGTAAAGTATAAATGTTGGGATTTGGGGCCATACAGTCCATGGCTTTGGCTTATTTCCTGTAGTGAAACCAGTTTAGGTTGCAGAGACTTTACAAACTAGCATATTGAATAAATCAGCAATACCATACTGCATTCTAGACACACACAGTAATTTCTACATTATTAACCAATTATATGTGAATAAATATCAAAGGGACACTACATTCACCAGAACAACTACAGCTTAATGTTCTGATGAATATAGTATGTCCCTGCAGGCTTTTTACAGTAAACAATGTGTTTTGGGGGAAAAGGCGGTGTTTACTTAAGAGCCTAGAGACACTGAACTTTCCTTATATAGGTGTATTGATTCAATGTATCTCTGAGTAGATGCTGATTGGTCGTGGTGGCTTTGGCTCTGGCCCCTGGGCTGCCACCTTGGCTGAGATAACTAGAATTGACAATCTCAATTTTCCTGTGGGAAAACATTGTGATTGGCTAAGATCATCACTTCTGATGTCAGCCAAGGAGGCAGAGCAGGGACAGGGCCAGCATAAGCAGACTGGAATAAAGATTTTACTATATTTAAGGGGGGCTTTAACACTATAGGGTCAGGAATACATGTTAGTGTTCCTTTACTTATGGCTACATTGAATGCCTTCTTTAGTGTTCTGTCCACTGAAAACACTTGTATTGTAATTTATTGCACGAACATGACTTTATCCATCACAAGTTAAATACATGGGCATGAGATCTGTGTAGCTGGATAAACATGTGTGACTCCATAATAACTAAATGCATTTGATGTTTGTACATCTGGTTATGTACAGGCATAAATAATTAAATAGGGAAAACAATGACTTAGCTGAACCATTGAAGGAACACTCCAGACCCCTAAAACACTTTTACTTGCTGAAAAATTTTATGTATGAAGAGTGTGTACTATTATTTTTAATTTTGCAAAAAGTGCAGATTTCAACAGAAATTGGCATTTGGTTTTTAAATTAACTGGTTACACCCCTTTTCTTCCAAGCAGACAAGCTAATGGTACTTCCTGGTTTGGTTAGCTCAGTGGAGCTAAACTCAAGAGGCAGTAATTGCCCAGAGCACCTTCCTTGGAAAGACTTCTCAGTGAGCTGCACTGGGGATGCTGTGATTGGGCAGCCACATAGGCGTAGAAGGGAAAGGTTTGCACATGCAGCAGACGAGTACTTCAGGTTTTGCAAAAAAAAAAAAGGGGGGGGGGGCGGTGGGTGTTCGTTCCATAGTGTCTCTTTCGTCCTACAACCCCAACCGGCTTAAGGGAGGCATTCGAAGGATACCGCAGTTCACCGACGCTTGATGGAAAACGGCATACGTTTCACAGACTGCTGCTATGCGTTCCACTGTTTGCCAGGTCTCTCAACGATCTGTAAGTGTGAATACACTGCCTTACGCGTTTTGTGATGACAGCATTACTTCAAAGGCTCGTACTTTTCTCTGTACGATCAGGGTTTCAATAGTCATTCCTTATTGTGCTAATTATTAACTCTATCCTGCACTTAACCTGGAAAAAGTCATAGATTGAACATAGAGCACTTCAGTTATAACACATGGAATAAAAAAACTAAAAACTCTATGGTTAACTATTAATGAATATCCAAAGACTTCATAGAATAACTGTCACTGTGTTGTGTTCAGACAAAAATTTAAATGGATGGAAAATAAATGGTAAAAGTAAAATAATGAATCAAGATAAATATAGAAATGAAGCATATGAATAATAGACATCTGGTGATTTAAACTGGTATCCAAATGCAATACTTTTGGCAAAGGGAATATCAAGAAGGTAAGTAAAAACCCATCTAGAACTTAGTTCTATTCCCAGAAAAGATACTAAAAAGGAGAAATATTAAAAAAGAAATACTCCACAGAAGAAAGACAACTTGGGAAAAAAAAGGGAACAAAAAATTTGGGGTGCAGCTCTGTATGTGTCTTTTTTTCTACTTTCTTGTGATCATACTTATTCTCCAAAAAGAACCTTTTAGCTGTTAGTTTCCTTATAAACTTGTGTAGATCTATATATACATTTAATTAGGATTTCCCTGCGTGGGGGCAAATTTTAAGCCTTTTCTTAATAGCTTCTTTTCTTCATTGTTTAAAACTCGATCTGATTAAAAATATTGACAGATGCATTCTCTTTCACCTAATTCTTGTTCCTTATGTCTCCTTCTCCTTCTTGACTTGTTTTTTTCCCTTTGTATTTGGGATTTTGGCGGATCTCTTCTTTCTTTCCACATCTGTTTCAGAACAGGTCTTGTTTTGTCTTTCATCTCTTAAAAGCATTTTCAGAGGGTGCAGAGGTTTCAGCTAATTTAGGTTTTTCCATCCTGGGTGTAGTAGGTGGGTACCTATGATCAACACTTTTTGGTCTTGGGGTAGCCTTCTGATCCATCTTTTCTCTACTGGTGGACAACGCCACTTATTCTCTGACGGTGTAGTTTTCTCCTTTTCCCAAAATATTGTAATGTTTATGGAGAGGAGGATTTCTTCTCATTTGCTGTATACGGTGGTCTTCTTTTTCAGATCTCCTTGGTCCTTTACTCTGTAGATCTCTAGTAATATTTCCTCTAATGTTGTATCTATTTTCCCTTAAGTCACGATTTTTCCAGAATCTGTCTTCCTTATTTCTGATTGGTACATTGTGTCTGCAGCTGGGGGAGTATGAACAGACACACAGTAGTCCCAATCCCATGTCAGCCTATGCCTTTGTGGGGTAGATCATATCCTTGCTTCAGCAATGCAGTCATCTGGCACAAGGGCCCAGGTAGAAGCTGCAGGAACATCAAGCTGGAGTATGGAGATAGGCCTAGCTGTGGCATCAATGGCCCCAAGGGCGATATAGCCTCTCTGAGTGGGCCTGTGCAATGATGACTTTGAGGTAAGCCCGCTGGTAAGATGCGCCCGGTTTTCCTGATTTTACGGTGGCCCGGGTGTCTCCACCTTGGTAGTGTGCACCTTATACCTGAGGCCGCTTACCTCTGCCTCAAGTGCAGTAGGTGGTTCTGATGTGATCGGGCTTGTAGCCGCTGTGAATCCTGGCATGTTGACACCTGCTGATCTTGCTCTAGAACTCTGCGAAGAGCTTCTCAAGCTGGGCGATGGTGTCAGCGCCAAGCTGACATGTGCCGTCCGCCATCTTGTTTGACATGCTGCACTGGCCTGCTTGTTTAGATACGCCCAGCGGTTTGGTGGAACACTGGGACCTTAAGGGTGTGGACCAGGATCAGCTGAATGCAAGCCTCACATCACCAAGTACAATACCAAGCGTCGGATCCAGTGCTGTAAAGCACACTATACTATGGAGCAGTGGAAATGTGTTCTATGGAGTGACAAATCACATTTCCTTGTTTGGCAGTCTGATGGGCAAGTCTGGGATTGGGGGACACCAGGAGAATATTATCTGCCTGACTGCATTGTGGCATCTGTAAAGTTTGGTGGAGGAGAGAAAATGGTATGGAGCTGTTTTTTGGGATTGGGCTAAGTCACTTACTTCCAGTGAAAGAAACCCATGATTCTTCAGCATACCAAGACATTTTGGACAATGCCATGTTTCCAACTGTGGGAATAGTTTAGGGAAAGCCCTTTTCTATTCCAGCATGACTGCCCTAATGCACAAAGCATGGTCCATACAGACATGGCTGCATGAGTTTGGTCTGAAAGAACTTGACTGGTCCACACTGAGCCCCTTTTATGGTGAACTGGAACAGAGATTGTGAGCTGGGGGGTGGGGGAGAGATCAACTACATATTAACGTTGAGAATCATTCTGATAACTAGTTTCAGGCCCAGTTTTGAAACGTACTGAACAAGAGCCAGTATTTCCTTACAGCAGCTAGTAGTTAGCACATCCAATACATCGTCTTACAGCTAGCAAAGCTTCATGTTCTACATTCCTTACCACACAGGGTTTCAGTATCATTTTTACCAATGAATTCAAACTTTTGGGTAGCAGTTTTTTTTTTTCCTCTCATTTTACTTTAGACATGAATTCTCTGTTCCTGTTATGTGTTACTGACAAAGAACACCCCAATATGTGTTCAGCAACATCTCCCGAGTACAGTGATACCACATATGCATAGGTTGTTTGGGGGTGCATTGCCAAACTTCTGACATGTGTTTTTCAAATCTGACATCTTCTTTGTCTACTTTCTTTTTGTGGGCCTTTTAACATGTCCCAATGTATTTTCTTGCCATGAACGTGCATGTATTTGAAAAGTTGACACCCCAAGGTATTGTGTGTATGAAATGTTTTGATGCCTTTGATGCAACCGTTTTAGCCAAAACAAATTAGAGAAAATGTGTGGTGGCAATTTTTTAATTGTACACACACATTTGTGTGTGATTTAGGGGAGCCTGTTGGACCTACCCTTAAG